GCATCAGTAACACCATTAAATAGATGGAGAAACTGAGGTCTAGACAGATTGACTTCTTCAAAGTCCCATTGTAAGCTAGCAGCTGGGTAGGAACGGGAAAGGGTGGCTGCTTGGTCCCAAGGTGAGGTATGTCCTGCAGACATGGAACCCATCCCCAATCTCACCTTGGCCACAGCAGTGTTCTCCCTGCACAGGCAACAGAACTACCTGGCAAGGTACACACATGCTCCTCTCTGAAGAATGGCTTCACTCTCTCCCTGCCCTACTATTCTCTCTGTAGAATGGTGCAGTGAGATCCCAGGTTGAGGTAAGGGATAAAGGAACCCCCACATGAGGGCTACCCTCAAGAAGGCTCACACACTGGAGTCTCAGATTTAAGGAGCCTCATATTCCCTGCCCAGCTGCTGTGTCCCAGAGTATGCACCCTCACAGACCCTGTCACCAGGAGCACCTCATTCCCATCTCACAATTTCCCTCTGCCTTTGCCCAGGTCAGGAACTACCTGGGCTACCTAGAACCCTCCTCCCTTCCTTTCTTGACCTTGAGATCTCATAATATTTCTTTAAGATCCAGTGTGGGGCCAGGCATGGTGGCTCACACTTGTAATCCCAGCACTTTGTGACATGGCAGGATGGATTGAGGCCAGGAGTTCAGGGACAGCCTGGGCAACATAGCAAGACCCCATCTCTGGAATATTTTTATTTTTATTGCATTTTAGGTTTTGAGGTACATGTAAAGAACATGCAAGATTGTTGCATAGGTACACACGTGGCAGTGTGATTTGCTGCCTTCCTCCCCTTCACCTATATCTGGCATTTTGGAAAAGAATTTTTAAAAGTCCCAGCTACTCAGGAAGCTGAGGCAGGAGGATCGCTTGAGCCTAAGAGTTGTAGTCTGCAGTGAGTTATGATTGAGCCACTGCCCTCCAGCCTGGGCAACAGAGTGAGACCCTAAAGTCAATCAACAAAATAAGAATCTGGCCGAGTGCAGTGGCTCACGTCTGTAATCCCAGCACTTTGGGAGGCTGAGGTGGGTGGATCGCCTAAGGTCAGGAGTTCGAGACCAGCTTGGCCAACATAGTGAAACCCCATTTCTACTAAATATACAAAAATTAGCCAGGCATGGTGGCAGGTGTCTGTAATCCCTGCTACTTGGGAGGCAGAGGTTGCAGTAAGTGGAGATCGCACCACTGCACTCCAGCCTGGGTGACTCCATTTCAATAAATAAATAAATATTTAAAAAAATAAGAATCTTTGAGTCCCAGAGAGAGAAAGAGAAAGAAAGCTCTTCCTCACAGTAAAATCACGTTGTATGTATAAAAGAAAAATCATTATTTGGCCACCATCAGAGTAGTTATTGCTTCAGGCAAGAACCACCAATGGATGCTAAAGTAGGGAGTAAAAGTCTGATTTTAAAAAATGCAGAGTTACAGTCTCAAAGTATCTCCCGACAAGATACTTATTAATTACAAAAGGGGATCACGGCTGTAATCCCAGCACTTTGGGAGGCTGATGCAGGAGGATTGCGTAAGCCCAGGAATCTGAGACCAGCCTAGGCAACACAGGGAGACCCTGTTTCTACAAAAAAAATTTAAAATTAACCGGGCATGGTGACTCACACCTTTAGTCCTTGAAGATCACAAGCCCAGGAGTTCAAAGATGCAGTGAGCCGTGATTGCGTCCATGCCCTCAACTTGGGTGACAGAGCAAGACCCTGTCTCAAAAAAAAAAAAAAAAAGAATTACCAAGGGAAAAATATTAAATTTACACTGGTGAAAACTGGAAGACCGCTTTAACCAAAAGATCCAATGCTAATGCCAATTTCAGGATTGACTGAACCCTCCTGCCTCCTGATAAGCTGAGAACACAGCGTCACTTCTGTGGAATTCCTGCCAAAAATGTAGAATTCAAATCTAATCATGAGGAGACATCAGAGAAACCCAAATTGAAGGACATTCTTCCAAAGAACTGGTCTGTGCTCTCCTAAAACATCAAGATCATGAAAGTTAAGTGAAGATGAAGACATTGTTCCACATTGGAGGAGACTAAAAAAACCTGATAACAAGATTCTGTTATCAGGTTTTTTGGTCTATAATTAGTCTTTTAATCTATGATTCCATTTTCCTATACAAAGATGCTATTGACATGTACACCAGGGTGGCTAGAACCAAAAAGTCAGATAACAAATATTTCTGAGGATGTGAAGCAATGGAAGCCTCATACTATGCTGGTAGCAATGTAAAAAAAAAAGTCATTGCTCTTAGGAAATTCATACTGAAGTATTTAGTTAAAAGGGCATCATATCTGCAATCACTATCAAATAATTCAGAAAAATTATATATATATATATATATATTACATATGTATATACAGAGGAAAAAACAGAAGGACAGAGACAGAAAGAGAGTAAATATGTTATCATTATAAGGCTTGGCATTTTTGCTAGTCCCATAAGAGAAAAGCAGTATATCATTGTTTTTAATTTGCATTTATTTAATTATGGAGTACTCATTTAAAACGCCCCAGAAACCATAACCCAGAATGACCACAGATATTTACTGAGTGTCCACCCTCTACTAAGCTCCAGTGATAAAAAAATATGAAGCACAACATCTGGTAGATGCAAAATGGTATTATATCTCACCGTTGTTTTCATTTTACATTTCCCTGATAAGTAAACAGATTGGGTTATCTTTTCATATATTACACATATTGGCCATTTCAGGTTTCTTCTGCTGTGAATTACCTGTTTGTATCCGATGTCTATTGCCAAGTGTATTGTTTGTCCTCTTCTTAGTGATTTGTAGATGTTTCTTACATATCCTAAAATCTAGATACTAGTTCTTTGTTGCACAGGTCAAAAGCCTAGATGGAAAGGATCAAGTTTTCAAAGCCCAGAAGCACATGTGGTAAGAATCTTTCAGATTTTTTTTTTCTTGTTGGAGAAAACCAGCTTACTAAAGAATCTTCCAGTTTTAAATGCCAGATCTTGCAGCTGAGGGAAGTATTCCGGTAGGTGCTGTGGGTCTTTGTTGAATCAACTTGAGTGTGTTTGACAACTGAGAAAAAAATTAAAATGAAATTTAATTCATAAAATACATGTCCTGTATTCTGCTGTTAAGGAAAAGAATTGGGATCTGTGCATCCGGTCTAAGCTATTATTCATTTTATATATATATATGGTAATATATATATATTAAACACATTAAATATTTTTTATTATACATGAATACCAATTTATGAGCTAGAACTGCACTTAACCACATGTTAAAATAGAAAACATACATTTCTCTTCAATTACCATTGGTGTTTCCCAGCAAAAACCTGCCAAGCCCACTCTTTTGTTTAACAGAAAATGACACTGAAGACGGGTTAATGAACATGACTTACCAGTTCCATACAGGACCTTGTTAATCTGATTAAAATTTGTTTCAGTTGGCTGCCTAGGTCAGGGTGGAGTCCAGCTTGACCTGGGCTTCCTTCCCCCTTCCATGTCACAGCTAAGCATGCAGTAAGGGCTCTTTTGGAAAAATAGGCCATTCATCACCCTAGGTACAAAGTGGAATGCCTAGAAACTGCAGCAGTAGGGTAGGTAGAAGGCGGGTGCTACTTAAATCCTGAGTGTTGGTGCAGATAGAACCCTATACGGGTCTTTGTTGGGGCCAGTTTAAGTGCTTTCTTTCTTATTTATCTATCTATCTATTTATTTATTTAGAGAAGAAGTTTTGCTTTTATTTGTTTATTTACTTATTTTTTTACTTTTTGAGAAGGAGTTTCACTCTTGTTGTCCAGGCTGGAGTGCAATGGTGTGATCTTGGCCCACTGCAACCTCCACCTCCGGGGTTCCTGCCTCAGCCTCCGGAATAGCTGGGATTACAGGCGCCCGACACCACGCCCAGCTAATTTTTTTTTTTTTTTTTTTTGTATTTTTAGTAGAGATGGGGTTGCTCCATGTTGGCCACTCTGGTCGCGAACTCCTGACCTCAGGTAATCCACCTGCCTCTGCCTCTCAAAGTGCTGGGATTACGTGCGTGAGCCACCACACCCGGTCTTTATTTGTTTATTTTTGAGACATGGTCTCGACCGGTCACCCAGGCTGGAGTGCAGTGGCGCGATCTCGGCTCACTGGAACCTCTGCCTCTCAGGCTCAAGCCATCCTCCCACCTCAGCCTCCCGAGTAACTGGGACCACAGGTTTGCATCACCACTCCCGGATAATTTTTGTATTTTTATGAGAGACGGGTTTTCACCATGTTGGCCAGGCTGATCTCTGACTCCTGACCTCAAGCGATCCTCCTACCCTTGGCCTCCTGAAGTGTTGGGATTATAGGTGTAAGAGCTTTATAAATACCCTTTTTACGTGCTCCGTACTAGCCTCCTTCCAGTTCACAGGGAACATTTACTAGTCGCTGGGGTCACCTTCAATGCAAAGAGTCTGCCGGGGAATTAAGCATGCAAATCATTTCTCAACGACGACACGCCAAGTGCTCACAGCTTGTCCCTAGGGGAAGCACAGGCGCCTAATTTGTGTTCCTAGGTGACACAGTCATTACTTATCAATGTTCCTGGCCCTTCCCCGGAGGCGGGAAGGGTTGGAAGTTACTTCGGTTCTCTCAAAGGATGAGTAAGGAGAGATCTCGGTTTGTTTTCCCATCTGTGAAACGGGGCCACCACGGTATCTAGAGGACGTACCAGGGTGACCATTTGGGGGTCACCTCCTCCCTCCCCCTTCTTTCCCTTCTCAGCTTCCAAGGCTTGGAAATTTGGAGATTTGGAAGTTTGTTCTTGGATGGCCAGAAATCCTCCGGACGCAAGCGGTCCAGAGCTGCAACAGCCACAGGCCGGAAAGGTGCGGGCGTGAACGTCCTGCGCGCCGACGTACCCCCGCGCCCGGCTCCCCTCAACCCCCCGCTCCTCCTTCCCTCGATCCTCCCGCTCCCCTCCTCCGCGTCCCTGTCCCCGCCCCCCTCCCGCTCTCCCATTGGCCGAGCCAGCGGCCGGGCCGCCCCGGGATTTAAAGGGCCCGCTCGCCGAGCCGCCCTGGGAGCCGCTGCTGGTCCCGGCCTTGCGGCCTGCGGGGTAGGCTGCCCGGAGGAGGCGGCGGCGGCGGCAGCGCGTCTTCGGTCCCCAGGACCACGGGCTTCTTTCCTGCCAGGTAGGTCGCCAGTAGTGCGCACGCGACTCCCCCGCTCCCATCCCTGAGCCGACCTCCCCGGGTGGATCTGTAGCGCGAGTGCTGGGACCCCCTCCCCATCACCTTTCCGACCATCCCTCCTGCTATGTCCCCTACCACCACCTCCTTGCAGCCCCCGGACCTGGGCAGGACTTTGTTGGCGGCCTCTCGCCGGGTGAGGATGAGATGGGGCGCGCGGAGGATACAGGACACCCCCCAACCCGCCGCATCCATACAAGGAGAGATGCACACGGCCCCCAAGTGTCACAGAATCCCCCTCTCTGCCCTCCACCCAGAGCGACTCTACCTTGGAAACCAGGGATTCCCCTTCCCGTCGCCCGCCCCATTTGATATATGGGCCTGAAATGTATGCCATCCCATCACCATCGGACTGGACTGTTCATAGCATTGGAGAGACAGAGGTCCTTCATTCACTCCAGGTCACAGGCTGTGCGTGTGCGTGCCGAACGAACACCCACACGCACACAGTTGGCGGCTCAGCCTGATGTACCTGACTTCTCACACCCTCCCCCAGTCCCCCAGTACCTTACCTCTACATGGGTTGGGCAGCCCCAAACTGAAATGTGAGTGCTGGAGTCCATCCCTTGAGCAAGGTCTGCCCCACGGACACCCGCTCCCTCTGTGTCCCCGCTTTGACAGATCTATCCATCTGGTCTTCCATCCGTGGGGGTCCGAAATGGCCACCTTCAGCCGCCAGGAATTTTTCCAACAGCTACTGCAAGGCTGTCTCCTGCCTACTGCCCAGCAGGGCCTTGACCAGATCTGGCTGCTCCTTGCCATCTGCCTTGCCTGCCGCCTCCTCTGGAGGCTCGGTAAGTGCCTGCCATGCCGTGTGCCACCATGCCAGGCGATATCAGACTTCTCACATTCATCCATATCGAGCCACACCTTACCCTGCCACATCCTGCCAGGGCCCAGCATGTCCAAGCTGGGCCCCAACATGTTCAGCCTCACCACATCCCACCAGGCCAAACCCCATTCCACCACACCGCATACATCCTACTATGCCAGCCACCCCATGCCACACCACACTGAGCCACATCCTGCCATGCCAAGCCGTGCCCTTCAGTATTCCTGACTTCTGGGATTCCGGAAAGCTGAGATTCTTGGATCTTGGGATTCTGAAATGTCTACAACCCAAGGTTATAAGACACTGGCATGCTGATGTCACAGGGTTATGGAATCCCAAAGTACCATGATTACAGGGCTTGGAGATTCTGACAGTTTGAAATTCTCACATTCTAGACTTCTAAAATGTTGGCATTGTGGATTTCTATAATCAGGGCATGATGCGATTTCTGGATTCTAGGATTATGAAATGTTTCCACAGTCATAGCAGGCCTGTATCTTAATGAAAGATTCCAAGTCCCCAAGGTTCCTATAGGAGGTGGAGAGTTTTGGAAATCTGAGATCCGAAGGTTCTACATTTTCTTTTTTCTTTTTCTTTTATTTTAAATAGATGGTTTATTTTTTCCCAGGTTTATTATTTTGAAAATTTTCAAAGCTACTGAAAAGTTGAAAAAATAGTACAATGAGCGCCTATGCATGCATCACCAGATTCTCCAGCTTCAACATCTTGCCACATTAGCTGGCTCTATCTATCTATCTATCCATCCATCCATCTATCTATCATCTTCCTGAATTGCTTGAATAACCTGCTGACATCACAACACTGTACCCCACATCCTTCAATGTGTGGCCCCAAGAACAAGAACATCATCCCCCACAACCACATCCTCCACTATCACCCCCTGAGACATTGAATCTGGATACAATAATGTTATCCTATATAAATTGATGCTTGAATTTCTTCCAGGGTCCCCTAAATACCCTTTATAGAAGTTTCTTTTCTTTAAACTCAGGCTCTGCCACCCTCTCCAGCTCCCCAACACCTGTTCCGGGCCCCTTCGATCCCACTACATTCCAGCCTATAGGCCTTTGCCCTGGCTATGCCCTCTGCCCAGGCCATCCTCCCCTTCCTACCAGTCCACCAACCTTCTCTTTCTTGTTCTCCCTCTCTCCCTCCCTCCCTTCCTCCCACACTCTCTTTCTCTCTCTTTTTCTCGTTCTCTCTCCCTTTCTTTCTCCCTTTTGCCCAAAGGGTTGCCATCCTACCTGAAGCATGCAAGCACCGTGGCAGGCGGGTTCTTCAGCCTCTACCACTTCTTCCAGCTGCACATGGTTTGGGTCGTGCTGCTCAGCCTCCTGTGCTACCTCGTGCTGTTCCTCTGCCGACATTCCTCCCATCGAGGCGTCTTCCTCTCCGTCACCATCCTCATCTACCTACTCATGGGGTATGGGTGTGCATCCTTATCCTCACACTGTTGGCTGAAGTGTGTGGGTGGGTCCCCAGGCCCCGGATGAAGTTGTCCAAGGCAGGGAGGGGGTAAGATTCCCCAGAGAAAGAAGGGAGTCTGGGAGAATCATTCGCCTATGAGGAGACAGAACAGGAGGGCATGGAGTGTCCCTGGAGAAGGGAATCTGGGAGATTTGTCCTCTCACAGGATTGTAAGGGACAGGTTGAGCAAGGGCTCCCCCTGGAGGAGAGAGCCTGGGATAATTTTTCATCCATGAGACTTGTAGGGTGGGAGGAAGCAGAACCCTCTGGCACCTTGGTTCCCCACCTTTATGGTCTCAGAGGCCATGAATGTCATGGGACCAAGACCAACACCTTTTTCCTCAGTGAGATGCACATGGTAGACACCGTGACATGGCACAAGATGCGAGGTAGGTAGCCCTGCCCCTCTCACCTGCTCACCCACCCCCCGCCCCACTCCACGTCTCCTAACTGCCCCACCCTGTGAGTTTCCTCCCCTGCTTTTCTCGCTCATCTGCCCACCCCACTGGACATGAAGGCCTCACATTACCCTCAGGTTCATGTCTCTTTCCACCGTGCATTTTCCCTAAGTCTGTCTGTCTCATGTCATGTACGTGCCTGACTCTCTGGAGTAAGGGCATCTATCTGTCATGCGTTTCCTTGCCCATCTGCCTACCTGTCCCATGCCCATGTATCCATCTTTGTGCCCCCTTTTCCTATTACATCTCACCTGGTGCACCTCCTCCCTGCCATGCTGATCTGCCCTCTGCCCATCCACTTGACCATGGGCACCACACATAGGGGCCCAGATGATCGTGGCCATGAAGGCAGTGTCTCTGGGCTTCGACCTGGACCGGGGCGAGGTGGGTGCAGTGCCCTCACCAGTGGAGTTCATGGGCTACCTCTACTTCGTGGGCACCATTGTCTTCGGGCCCTGGATATCCTTCCACAGCTACCTACAGGCTGTCCAAGGCCGCCCACTGGTGAGGTCCTGGGTGGACAGGTGGGCAGGGACTGTGGGAGCTGCCCCGGAGCAGCACTCATGAAGCCTTGATCCCTTCCCTACAGAGCCGCCAGTGGCTGCAGAAGGTGGCCTGGAGCCTGGCACTGGCCCTGCTGTGCCTTGTGCTGTCCACTTGCGTGGGCCCCTATCTCTTCCCGTACTTCATCCCCCTCAACGGTGACCGCCTCCTTCGCAAGTGAGCATAGCCTTTGAGACCCCTGCCCAGCAGTGAGGGGGTTGGGTAGGGACCTGTGGTTTCCCCAGTTCTGAGTCTGTCTCTTAATGCTTCTTTCTGTCTTCTGTTACTACAGCAAGAAACGCAAAGCCAGGTAAATGAGGGGGCAGGTGTAAGGGCTTATGGAGTGGGGCTGACGTGAGTGGGGGCAGAGCCCATGACCAATGGGTTCTGTGTGTCCAAGTGTGTCTGACCGTCAACTCCACGACTAGACAGAGACTGTGGCTGGCTGGCTGACCAAGCTTGGCTCTGTGACTCTGTATGACTGACACTCCAACACATACTATGTGTCTGGCTGTCCATCTGTTCAGCTGTGTTGCTATTAGAAGCAAGTCACATAACTGTCATGGAGAGTGACGTGTATGTTGGTTGAGTAACTTTAACCTGTCAGCGACTCTGGCTAGGGACATGTATGGGTTGTTTTGTCTATCGGCCACTGACCCCCTGAGTGTGAGCCTGTGAGTGGCTGTCTGGCTGTGCCATCATCAATGATAGGGTGCGTGGCTCTCATTGGATCAGATAAATCTGTGTTGATGATTCTGACATTTCGTAGCTTTGGCCAGGAATGGGTCTGACCATAGCATGTCATATGCCTGTCTGTGGAGTTCATGGGCTACCTCTGCCTGTATGTCTGCTTGTCTGACAGCTTGGTGTTATCTAGCTGACGGGTCATAACCAACTCTGGTCTGTGCCTGTCTGCAGGACTGACTGCCTCTGGTTGGACTACAGGGTTTGATCCGGCTCTTTGTTTTTATGGCCCCTCCCCTACTCCCTGGCTGCTGATTAGGTCTAATGCTGAATGACTCTCTAAAAGGTCAAGTGACTTGACCAGGGTCACCCAGCTAAGCAGCCAGGCATGAATCCCAGGCCTAACTTCAGAACCTATGCTTCTTCCAACCCAGGATGCTGCCTGTTTTTGCCCATGTCTGATTGCCACTAGCAGGGTGTGTGTGTGTGCACAGCAGGGTGTTTGATGCTCTCTGTGCCCAGCTCAGGCATTTTTGGCTGTCCTGTGGTCGCTGAGTCAGGTTAGAGCACTGCAAGGGTGGGAGTCTGATAAGATTTGTGTCTGGCTGTTAGAGGGGGCAGGTCTGTGAGATTGGGTCTCTGATGGTGGCTTTGGCCATCTGGCCATGTGAGCCTGCAAGGCCATGCCATATTTTAGGACAGCTCATGCATCTGTTTGAGCCACATAAGACTAACTACTTGAGGGTGGATGTCTGTGTGACTATCATAGTTCATCTTTTTTTGCGGCTACATTTCGTCTGTCTTGTCTGAATAATTCAGACCAGCCTCCAGGGCCTCTCTGACTCTCTTTTCTTTCTTCTCTGCTGCCTTCCTGACCCCTGGGGGCCCTAGGGGCACCATGGTAAGGTGAGTCTACAGAGTGGGACCCGGGATGCTGACATGTGGTGGGGTATCATGCTAGGGCCGAAACATGATGCCTCTCTCCCCTGCCCCTTTCTCCCCAGGTGGCTGCGAGCCTACGAGAGTGCTGTCTCCTTCCACTTCAGCAACTATTTTGTGGGCTTTCTGTCCGAGGCCACGGCCACGTTGGCGGGGGCTGGCTTTACCGAGGAGAAGGATCACCTGGAATGGTGGGAGGGCTTGGGGACCCCCCTCTCCCACAGGGTGCCGCCTAGAGGAGCTGCAGGGAGGAGGGCGGGTACTCCCAGGGGAGGGAACAGCCTAGACAGAAGTGTGGCAGTCAGATGAGTTGAGATCCCAAATGAATTTGCATGTGTCTTCTGCCCACAGGGATCTGACGGTGTCCAAGCCACTGAATGTGGAGCTGCCTCGGTCAATGGTAGAAGTTGTCACAAGCTGGAACCTGCCCATGTCTTATTGGCTAAATAACTGTGAGTCACCAAGTCACCACTCCAGCCGTATTAGTAACCCAGGCCCTTTCATACATTCATACAACATTTACTGAGCACCTTCTGCATGCAAGGCACCCCAAATCCCTACCCTTGTGGAGCTGCAGTTCTGTTGGGGGGCAAATGATAAATAAGAGAAAAAAATACCTAATAGCTCAGGTGTTGATAAGTGCTATGGTTTAAAAAAAAAAAAGATAAAGCAGGTAAAGGTAATCTAGGAGTGCTGGTGTGAGATAGGAGTGGGGAGGGTGGGGTGTTGTAATCATAAAAAAAATTAGTCAGGGCAAGTCTCCTGGAGGAGGTGACATTGGAGCAAAGATGCAAGGCAGGTGAGGGAGCAGGGAGTGCAGGTATACTCGGGAGGAGTGTAACAGATGGAAGGAATAGCAGGTGCAAAGGCCCTAAGGCAGGAGCTTGCTTGGTGTGTGGGGAACAGCAAGGAGGCCAGTGAGGCAGGAACAGAGTGAGCGAGGGGCTGGTGGCAGGCAGTGAGGTCAGGGAGGGCCCAGAGGGCCTCGTGGGCCACGGAAAGGGCTTTGGCTTTTTCTCTGAGAGAGATGAGAGCTACGGCAGGGCTCTGAGCAGAAGAGGGCCCTGGGCTGACTTCGGTTGCAACAGGATCCCTTTGGCTGCTGTGAGGACAGAGGGGAGGGGGCGTGATGGTGGTGGTGGCAGTGGATACAGAGAGGAGAGCTCAGATTCTGGCATATTCTGAAGGTGGAACTCACACAATTTGCTGAGTTTGGATGTGGGAGTTTGGGGAGGACAAATCAAGGGTGATTCCCAGGTTTTTGTCCTGAGGAACTGGAAGGGTGGAGTTGACATCCACTGAACTTGATGAGACTGGGAAGGGCAGGCTGGGGGGGAGATCGGGAGCTGGGCTTTGGGCATGTGAAGGACTTTATCCTGGGTGCTCCAACAGGTTGTGGGTACTCTCATCCTGCTGGTGGCCCTCCAGGAGGGGCTGGGGGGCTCTCAGGAGAATTTTGTCCCACATCTCTTCCCCTCCAGATGTTTTCAAGAATGCTCTCCGCCTGGGGACCTTCTCAGCTGTGCTGGTCACCTATGCAGCCAGTGCCCTCTTGCATGTGAGCAGGGCAGAGCAGGATCAGGGTGGAAGCTGCGTGGGGGCAGGTGGCAGGGCCTCTTCCTCACCCATTTCATTGTCCCCTCCACTCCCCCAGGGCTTCAGCTTCCACCTGGCTGCAGTCCTGATGTCCCTGGCTTTTATCACTTATGTGGAACATGGTGAGTGCATGACCAAGCCCAGCCCAGCCAATGGATAGAAGATTGGTGGGGGACTGGAACCAGCATCCCCTGAAGTTAACCTGACCCCCTTGCCTCTCTCCACTGCCCCAGTCCTTCGGAAGCGCCTGGCTCGGATCCTCAGTGCCTGTGTCTTGTCAAAGCGGTGCCCGCCAGACTGTTCACACCGGCATCGCTTGGTGAGGGTTCAGCCTAGGCAACCTCGTACCCGACACCCATCCAAAATGTTCCTTCTGTCTCTATCTTGTATTTGTCTCAGGGTGCCCAGCTTCTTCCTTTGGTGCCATCCTCATAGCCTCTCCTCTATTCACTGGCATCTGTTTCTCTAACAGACGTTTATCGAGCATCTGCTGTATACACACCTGGCATTCGTTTCCCCCATTGAATATCTGTGGAGCACCTGTTGGCACTCTAGGTGCTGGAGACACCATGGTGAACAAAACAGACCAAAGTCCCAGCCCTATGGGACAAACGTTTTAGCCAGGGACAGTAGATGAAAAATGAGTCAGTAAAGTCTAATAATAGTGTGTTAGCTTGTGAGTAGTGCTAAGGAGAAAATTCTTGGGGAAAGGGGGAAGGAAGGTATGGGGGTGATTTCCATTTGAAATAGAGAGGTCAGAGAAGCCTCCCTGGTGAGGTGACGTTTGAGGCCTTTAACTGAAGGAGGTGAGGGAGGGAAACGTTCCAGGCAGAGGGACCCCCAGGAAAGGCCCTGAGATAGGAAAGGCCTGGAATCTTTGAGGAACAGCAATGCAGCCAGTGTGGCTTGAGCAGAGGTGAGGTGGGGAGGGGAGATGGGTGGGAGGCATGGGCCCTCTAGGTCATAGTGGGGATTTGGTTTTGTTTCATTTTATGTTTTTCATTCTGTTTGCAATAAGAAGTACAGATAACCTCATATTTGTCTCCCACCCGCCTCCAACATTTATCACTATAAAGCCCTGACTCAAAGCCCTGCCACTCTTCCTCCTCTGCCTGGAGACGTGCCCTCCCCCAGCCCAGGATGCCCTCACTGTGGACAGCACCCTCATCCTTGGAAGCCTCTGCACTCCCATAGGAGGCTCCCTGAACCATCTCTTTTCTATCTCAGGGGGTACCCTGGGCATCCTCAGTTCTGGGATCCACTGTGCCCTGTGTGTCCCCTGGGCTCCCCTGCGCAGGAGGAGGTGGGGGACAGTGAGTAGGTCCAGTTGCCAAGTGTTTCCATCTGTTCCCCCACAGGGCCTGGGGGTGCGAGCCTTAAACTTGTTCTTTGGAGCCCTGGCCATCTTCCACCTGGCCTACCTGGGCTCCCTGTTTGATGTCGATGTGGATGACACCACAGAGGAGCAGGTGAGGGGGGGTGGCCCTGGGCTGGGTGGTTAACCAAGGGTGGCACTACCTGCCAGGGGGAAACCATGAGGACAAATGTGGGGAAGCTGAGGCCTGAGCTGCTCAGACTGTGCTGCTTCACGTGGGCAGCCAGTGCTCCTCCATCCTCTCCTGTAGTCCCTCTGCTTGAGTCACACTGTTGGGTCTTTTATTTGGGTGAAGTGTGCAAGATATGTTTATTTATTTTACTTGTAAAATTCATTTTAGGCTAGGAGCAGTGGCTCACACCTGTAATCCCAGCACTTTGGGAGGCCAAGGCAGGAAGATCACTTGAGGTCAGCAGTTCAAGACCAGCTTGGCCAAGCTGGTGAAACCCCATCTCTACCAAAAATATAAGAAATTAGCCAGGCATGGTGGCACATGCCTGTAATTCCAGCTACTCAGGAGGCTGAGGCAGGAGATCGCTTGAACCTGGAAGCGAGAGGTTGCAGTGAGCTGAGATCATGCCACTGCACTCCAGCCTGGGCCACAGAGCAAGACTCTGTCTCAAAAAAAAAATTCATTTTATAGAGATGGAGTGGAAAATCCAGGTTTTACTTTTGTTAATTATTTTACTTCATTATTGTTTAGGTAAAATTTGCGAGACTTCTTAATTTTTTTTTTGAGACAAGGTCTGTCCCCCAGGCTAAAGTGCAGTGGTGTGATCATGGCTGACTGCAGCCTCACATTCCTGGACTCAAGCCATCCTCCTGCCTCAGCCTCCTGAGTAACTGGGACTACAGGTGCACACCACTAAGCCCAGCTAATTTTTTTAAATTTTTTTGTAGAGACAGGGTCTCCCTATGTTGCCCAGGCTGATCTCGAACTCCTAGGCTCAAGCAGGCCCCTCACCCCAACCTCCCAAAGTGCCAGGATAACAGACATGAGCACCCTGTTTTATTTAATTTATTTTAAAAATATTTTATTTTACTTAGGTTGAGTATACAAACCCTGGATTCTGCACTTCAAAATTTTTCATTAAAATGTCTGCACTGGCCGGGCGCAGTGGCTCAAGCCTGTAATCCCAGCACTTTGGGAGGCCAAGGCGGGTGGATCACGAGGTCAAGAGATCGAGACCATCCTGGTCAACATGGTGAAACCCTGTCTCTACTAAAAATACAAAAAATTAGCTGGGCGTGGTGGCGCGTGCCTGTAATCCCAGTACTCAGGAGGCTGAGGCAGGAGAATTGCCTGAACCCAGGAGGCGGAGGTTGAGGTGAGCCGAGATCGCGCCATTGCACTCCAGCCTGGGTAACAAGAGCGAAACTCCGTCTCAAAAAAAAATAAAAAAGTCTGCACTATTTTTGTTCATGCTGAGTATGCAAATTCCAGATTTTACTCCTTTTTAAATTAACAACAATTTTAAAATAACATTTATTCATATGGCTCTTGTAGAATCCAGGTTTTTGCTTCTCTTTTAGTTAGTTTTTTCAGTCTAAAACAAAACTTCATGTTTTTTGACATTAAAAAAATTTTTAATCCAGATTAAGTGTACAAAATCTGGGTTTGCTTTTTTTTTTGAAACAGTCTCTGTCATCCAAGCTGGAGTGCAGTGGCACAATCATAGCTCACTGAAGCCTCAAACTCCCGGGCTGGAGCAATCTACCCACCTCAGCCTCCCAAGTAGCTGGAAGTGCATGCCACTACACTTGGCTTTTTTCTTTTGTTTTGTTTTCTTTTTGAGATGACGTCTCGCTCTGTCGCCCAGGCTGGAGTGCAGTGGTGCGATCTTGGCTCACTGCAACCTCTGCCTCCCGGGTTCAAGTGATTCTTCTACCTCAGCCTCCTGAGTAGCTGGGACTACAGGCATGTGCCACCACCCCCGACTAATTTTTGTATTTTTAGTAAGACGGGGTTTCACCATGTTGGCCAGGCTGGTCTCAAACTCCTGACCTCATGATCCACCTGCCTCAGCCTCCCAAAGTGCTGGGATTACAGGCATGAGCCACCACGCCTGGCCTGCTTCTTTTTAAATAAAATTTTTGTTTTGTTTTTATTAAAATATTTTAAAATAGTGAATGTCTATCATGTGGTTCAAAAACCAAACAGTAGTCAAGATATTCAGAGAAAAGACTTGCTCCCACCTTCTGCCCCCCACCCTCTTACAGGTAATCACTTTTATCCTTTTTTTTTTTTTTGAGACGGAGTCTCTCCCTGTCGCCCAGGCTGGAGTGCAGTGGCGCAATCTCAGCTTATTATAACCTCCAGCTCCCAGTTTAAGTGATTCTCCTGCCTCAGCCTCCGGAGTAGCTGTGATTACAGGCATGCACCACCACACCCGGCTAATTTTTGTATTTTAGTAGAGACAGGGTTTCACCATGTTAGCCACGCTGGTCTCGAACTCCTGACCTCAGGTGATCCACCCGCCTTGGCCTCCCAAAGTGCTGGGATTACAGGTGTGAGCCACTGCGCCCGGCCCATTTTTATCCTTTTATTAAAATATCTTTACAAAATTTAAGCATATTTGTGCCCTCACCTAGGGCACAAATATAAAAATGTATTTTAGGCCGGGTGCAGTGGCTCAGGCCTGTAATCTCAACACTTTGGGAGGCCGAGGCGGGAAGATCACAAGGTCAGGAGTTCGAGACCAGCTGACCAACATGGTGAAACCCTGTCTCTATAAAAATACAAAAATTAGCTGGGCATGGTAGCAGGCACCTGTAATCCCAGCTACTTGGGAGGCTGAGGCAGGAGAATCGTTTGAACCTGGGAGGCAGAGGCTGCAGTGAGCTGAGATTGCGCTATTGCAATCCAGCCTGGGTGACAGAGCGAGACTTCATCTCAAAAAATATATATATTTAAATTCTACCGCCCCCCCCCCAGTTTTTGCCCTAAAGATAACGCACGAATGATACTATTCTGTAATTTTTGAAAATCTTCCACATCAGTATATAGTGTCCTCATTCATTTTTTCCACTGTGAGGATGTAACAGTTTAATTTTTCTCTTATTGGTGGACATCAGGTGATTTCTAGTCCTTTCCTGTTATAAGTGATGCTGCAGCAGGAACTCTGTACCCATGTGGATCCACACAGGTGCAGACAGATCTGTAGGATCTGTTCCTGATAGTCTCAATGGAGTAGTACTTTTGTGCTTTCCCACCAGCAATGCATGAATGTGCTTGCTGCCCCACCAGCATAGAGTGCCTCTCAAACTTCTGGATTTGTTTGCCACTTCAATAAAGAGGAAGATGGCCGGGCAGAGCGGCTCACACCTGTAATCCCAGCACTTTGGGAGGCCAAGGCAGGTGGATCATTTGAGATCAGGAGTTCGAGACCAGCCTGGCCAACTAGTAAAACTCCATCTCTACTAAAAGTACAAAAATTAGCCAGGTATGGTGGCACAGTATCTGTAATCCCAGCTACTTGGGAGGCTGAGGCAGGAGAACCCAGGAGGTAGAGGTTGCAGTGAGCTGAGATCATGCCACTGCACTCCAACCTGGGCAACAGAATGAGACCCTGTCTCAAAAAAAATAATAATTAAAAGAGGAAGATTATGAATGAGGCTGAGCATCTTTTCATATGTTTAAGAGCCATTTGTTTTTCCTTTACTGAGATGACTTATTCACCTTCTCAAAATCTTTAGGAGCTCTTTATATGTTTGGGAGATAACAGGCCAGAGAATGGGATCACTTTGTTTTTAAAATGATTTTTAAAGAAGATGACAAAAACTATATCTGGTCACCTTTCATATGTATGCAAACCCTTCTGCAGGGCCTCACCTAGGGCAATCATAGAAATGTCCTTGGGCAAAGGATGGGTTTTCCTGAGACCTTCTTTGTCCTTGCTGAGTAAGACCATCACCTCTTTCTCTCCCACAGGGCTACGGCATGGCATACACTCTCCACAAGTGGTCAGAGCTCAGCTGGGCCAGTCACTGGGTCACTTTTGGATGCTGGATCTTCTACCGTCTCATAGGCTGAGGCACATCTGTGGACCCTAATAACCCTCTTGAGACCCCTCTCAGCGTGCCACTGATGGAAGACGAGGGAAGGCCCTCTCTCTATTCCTTGGCCCCCTCCATCCTTGATTCCCAACATCTTAACAGACACACACACACACACACACACACACAATCACACTATGTCCATGCCTGTCAATCCCCACCCCACCACAAGGCGGGAAGGGGGTAGTCCCTGCTGGGACCTAGGGGTGGGGGACACTTGGGGAAACTGAGAGCGGGAGATCCAGGGCCTCCCCGCCTTCTGTCTTCCTTTTTATATACAGTTTGTTATTGTCAAATAAAAGTAGGAAATATACAATAGGCTTCTTCTTCACTGCTCAGAGGGGAATAGGAATGAGTGAGGAAGGGGGCACAGCATGGATAAAGGTTTGGAAGCTGGAAACCATGAGGAGAGAGCAGACTATGATTGGTTCATGGTTAGTTTATGATTGTTAGATTAGATGATGAGATGGCAGGGTCCTGGTCCTGCTTGGTTTGAGTAGGGCAGGGACAGATTGTATAATTGGATGTTGGGGAGGCCTGATTGGCTGGAAAACTGAAGGATCCCCATTCTGATTGGTTGTTCTGAGTGGGACACAGAGGAGAGAAAGCAAGAGAGATGACGGATTGGTGCCTATTTGTCCTTCGGACTGAGGGTTGTGGGTTCTAATTGGATGGGAGATCTGGGATAGGTCTGGATTCTGATCGATTGCTCCGTCTGGGGTTCCACTGGTGGTTAGCCATTTGATTGACTTTTTAGAATTGGCACAGGGAGATTGAGGGTCTTCATGCCAATTGGCCAGTAGGACTCAGAGGCTTGGGTTCTGATTAGTTATTCTGACTTGTGGTTGGGGGAAGAGAGAATGATCACTATTAGAACCGAAGAGTTCTGAGCACGTAAGAGCTGGGGAGGGGGTGGTTGCAGTGTACAGGATGCGATCTGCCTGTAACAGTTTCCTTGCATTACGATGCGGGTTACTCTACTTAGAAAAGGGCGGAGGTGAGAGGATGCAACGCAACGCTGATTTCACCAGCAGATGATGAGGATACAGCCCTTAATGAGTCCCTGTTTTGATCGACTGAAGAGGGAATGGGGAAAGTGAAGCCAGGACTCGATGCAGATTGGCTACGGACGCAAAACGCCCACCAACCTTGGCCGGCCCCCAGTCTCCACCCTAAACCTGACTCAGGTGAAAATGGCGCCACGCGTGGGGGCGGGACCGGCAGCACACAGAGAGCGCCTATTGGTTGGGAGCGGCAAGGGCCGCCTTCTTCGCTTCGCCATTGGCCCGCTCCATAAGGCGAGGAAACCTACGAGGGGGATGAGCCCGAACTAGGGATGTGACAGAGCTCCAGAGGCAACACAGAGAGCGTCCGGCGCCCCGTGGGAGGCCGCTACCGTCTCGCGGCTAGGTGAGTGCCCTCCACCCGGCACCCTGTCCCTCCCCTAGCTCTCCCAGGCTACGCTGCCAGCCCTCGGCGGCGTGCCTGCGCGAGACCCTTTGCCACCCCCCCCACACACTGCCCCCTTGCGCCGGCGCGAGACCCCCTGCTACCGCAAGGTTATCCGGACGACAGGATCCGCCTTCTCATTGGGCAGTAGGACTGAAGGGGTCTGGTTCGGATTGGAGGACTTTGTGTTCCGCTTTAGCGCTCCTCTCCCGATGCTAGCCTTTCAATTTCCGCCACTTCCCGGCAGGTTGACGGCATTGCACGCTTTCGCGGGAAGGCTGTGGCTTTCCAAACCCCTGCACTGAAGGTTGTAGTTCTGATTCGTTTTCTTTCCTCTGTCCCCCAGCTGCAGTTTTCAGGACTACGGGGACGGCGGAGGGAGGGAATAGCTTTCTTTTGAACAGTCCAAGACGCTGACCCGTGCAACGGGACCACGCCTGGTTCCTGTGTCTCTTACCAAACCGTGACCCCGGAGCACAGGACTGGGTTTGGTGGTCGTGACCAGTTTGTGATCCTTGAAGGAAGAGACCAAGCCTGGTCCTGTATCTCCCTCGCCAGACTGACAGAGAGGGCTGGGATCAGGTGTTGTTCTCATTTGCCTCCCACCAGACTTTGACCCCCAAGGACTGAGATTGGGACTGTTTCTACTACATTATAATATGGCTCCTAGAGGGCTGGAACTAGCTTTCAGTCTTTCTGTGGCCTTATATTTCAGTCATGTTCTTTTTCTTTTCTTTTTTATTTTATTTTGAGACAGAATCTTGCTTGTTGCCCAGGCTGAAGTGCAGTGGCGCAATCTCTGCTCACTGTAAGCTCCGCCTCCCGGGTTCAAGAGATTCTCCTGCCTCAGCCCCCCAAGGAGTTGTAACTACAGGTGCAGCCACCACACCAGGATAATTTTTGTATTTTTAGTAGAGACGGGGTTTCATCATGTTGGCCAGACTGGTCTCGAATTCCTGAGCTCAAGTGATCCACTCGCCTCGGCCTCCCAAAGTGCTGGGATTACAGGCATGAGCCACAGCACCCGGCATTCTTTTCTTTTTTAGAGGCAGAGTCTCCGGCTGGAGTGCAGTGATGTGATCACGGCTTACTTTAGCCTTGAACTCCTGGGCTCAAAGCGATCCTCCTGCCTCAGCCTACCTAGTAGCTGGGACTACAGACATGTGTCATCACACATGGCTAATTTTCTCATTTCTTTTTTTTTTTTTTTTAAGATGGGGTTTCACCATGTTGATCAGGCTGGTCTTGAACTCCTGACCTCAGGTGATCCTCCCACTTTGGCCTCCAAAGTGCTTGGATTACAGGCGTGAGCCACCATGCCGGGCCAATTTTCTTATTTCTTAAGAGTTTTGCTACCTTGCCCAGGCTGGGCTTGAATTCCTGGCCTCAGGCACTACTCCTGCCTCAGCCTTCCAAAAGCACTGGAATTACCAGCCATAGTGCCTGGCCTTAGTCATACTCTTAAAACAGAATGTAATTAGAAATGTTACAGTCCTGTCTGTTAACTGGTAAATTCAGTCCTTTTACATTTCTTTTGGTAATAAACTATTTGAATTTTATTATCTCATTCTGTGCTTTCTATTTGTCCAGGTTTTCCTGTTCCTTTTTTTTTTAACTTCCTACCTATCCACACGCAGCCATCTGCCCACAAAGACATGACTACCAACGCGGGCCCTTTGCACCCATACTGGCCTCAGCACCTAAGACTGGACAACTTTGTGCCTAATGACCGCCCCACCTGGCATATACTGGCTGGCCTCTTCTCTGTCACAGGGGTCTTAGTTGTGACCACGTGGCTGTTGTCGGGTCGTGCTGCGGTGGTCCCACTGGGGACTTGGCGGCGACTGTCCCTGTGCTGGTTTGCAGTGTGTGGGTTCATTCACCTGGTGATTGAGGGCTGGTTCATTCTCTACTATGAGGACCTGCTTGAAGACCAAGCCTTCTTATCCCAACTCTGTGAGTGCTGAGTTCTTTCATATGCTGTGGGAGGGGATTTGCTGGGCAGGGATTGGCTTGGATTTTACCTTCCCACCTATTCTTCCGTTTGATTTATTTTAAATTTTTATTTAACCTTTTAAAAAATTTATTATGGGCCGGGTGCAGTGGCTCACGCCTGTAGTCCCAGCACCTTGGGAGGCTGAAACGGGAGGATCACTTGAGATCAGTAGTTCAAGACCAGCCTGGCCAACATGGTGAAACCCTGTCTCTGCTAAAAATACAAAAATTAGCCGGGTGTGGTGGCACACACCTGTAGTCCCAGCTACTCGGGAGGCTGAGGCAGGAGAATTGCTTGAACCTGGGAGGCAGAGGTTGCAGTGAGCCAAGACTGCACCATTGCACTCCAGCCTGGGCAACAGAGTGAGACTTCATCTTAAAAAAAAAAATTGTAATAATTATCGTTCTTTTTTTTTTTTTTGCCCTTCTCCAAAACTGGTAGATAACTTGTTTTTGAGACAAGGTCTTGCTCTGTTGCCCAGGCTGGAGTGCAATGGCGTGATCATAACTCACTGCCATAGCTCACTGCAGCCTCCAACTCCTGGGCTCAAGTGATCATCTCACCTCAGCCTCCCCAGCGGCTGGGAGTATAGGTGCATAGCTCTATGCCTGGCTAATATTTTCACTTTTTTGTAGAGACAGGGTCTTGCTATGTTGTTCAGGCTGTTCTTCAACTCTTGGGCTCAAGCAGTCCTTCCACCTCAGCCTCCCAAAATGCTGGGATGACAGGTATGCACCACTGTGCCCAGGCTTATTTAACTTTTTTGTTCCATGTATATTTACATGGGTCAAACAACCATTTAAATAGATTTGCAGTGAAAATCTTTCTATCCACCAAGTTTCCCCAAATGCTATTAGGCACTGGTATTTTTTGTTTGTTTGTTTGTTTGAGATGGAGTCTTGCTCTGTCCCCCAGACTGGAGTGCAGTGGCGTGATCTCAGCTCACTGCAACCTCCACCTCCTGGGTTCAAGCGACTCTCTTGCCTCAGCCTCCCTAGTAGCTGAAATTACAGGGGCCTGCCACCACAACTGGCTAATTTCTGTATTTTTTGTAGAGACGGGATTTCCTCATGTAGGCCAGGCTGGTCTCAAACTCCCGACCTTGCTCCTCGGCTTCCCAAAGTACTGGAATGAGCCATTGTGCCCAGCCAGCCACCATTGATAGTTGTTTATGTTTCTTTCCAATTTATTTACATTTGTAAATCTCAATTTGCTCCATTGTAAAAGGGGGATAATAGTAATAACCAGCTGTATGTAAGATACTTAGAAGAGTGTTTGGCAAACAGTGGATGCCATGTAATATTCCTATTATTATTATCATTGTTTGTATTTTTCCCTTTTTATGCAAATGATAACATGCTATACATACTTCTGATCTTTTCGCTTTTTCTTTTTTTCCTTACAAGAAAACCAAAGAAGCCATTTTCTTTTTTGAGACAGAGTCTCGCTCTGTCACCCAGGCTAGAGTGCAGTGGCATGATTATAGCTCACTGCAGCCTTGAATTCCTGGGCAATCAAGCGATCCTCCTGCCTCAGCCTCCCTAGTAGCTGAGATTATAGGCATGTGTCACCACACCCAGTTAATTTTTTAAAACAACATACTTTTTTAGTGATGGGGTTCTGGCTTCAAATGACCTGCCCACCTCAGCCTCCCAAAGTGCTAGGATTACAAGCATCAGCCACCACACCTGGCTGCTTTTTTCAATGAGGTCACTCTTCATGATTTCATAAAGAGCTTTTGAAACAAACATTATACAGTTATTTGACTTGTCTTGTATTGATGGACATTTTCCCTCAATCTTCTGCCATTATAAACAAGGCTGTGTGCGGTGGCTCACGCCTATAATCCCAGCACTTTGGAAGGCTCAGGCAGGTGGATCACTTGAGGCCAGGAGTTCAAAACAAGCCTGGCCAACATGGTAAAACCTGTCTCTACTAAAAATACAAAAATCAGCTGGGCATGGTGTCGCTTGCCTGTAATCCCCAAGCTCAGGAGACTGTGGCAGGAGAATCTCTTAAACCCAGGAGGAAGAGGTTGCAGTGAGCCAAGATCACGCCCCTGCATTCCAGCCTGGGCAACAGAGCAAGACTCTGTCTCAAAAAAATAAAATAGGCTGAGCGTGGTGGCTCACGCTTGTAATCCCAGCACTTTGGGAGGCCGAGGCAATTGGATCACTTGAGATCAGGAGTTAGAGACCAGCGTGGCCAACATAGTGAAACCTCATCTCTACGAAAATACAAAAATTAGCTGGATGTGATAGTAGGTGCCTGTAATCGTAGCTACTCGGGAGGAAAATCACTTGAACCTGGGAGGCGGAGGTTGCAATGAGCCAGGATCGCGCCACTACACTCCAGCCTGGGTGACAGAGTGAGACTCCGTCTCAAAAAATAATAATAAATAAATATACAATAGTGTTTTTTGGCCTCAGGAATAAAGCTGCTATGAACATTCTAATATAAGTCTTTATGTGGACATCTGCTTTTGTTTCTCTTGGGTAAATAATAGGAGTGCAGTGGCTGGATTTTATGGTAGGTGTGTGTATAATTTTATGGAAAACTACCAAACTGTGTTTCAAAAATGGTTTCACCATTTTATATCTCCACCAACAACGTAGGAGAATTCTGGTTTCTCCACATCCTTGCCAACACTTGTCATGGTCAGATTTTTTTTTGGTTTTTATTTTTTGGAGGCCAAGTCTCACTCTCTCGCCCATGCAGGAGTGCAGTGCTGCCATCTCAGCTCACCGCAACCTCCGCCTCCCAGGTCCCGGCAATTCTCCTACCTCAGCCTCCTGAGTAGCTGGGATTACAGGCATGCGCCACCACACCCAGCTCATTTTTATATTTTTAGTAGAGACGGGATTTCACCGTGTTTGTCAGGCTGGTCTCATACTCCTGACCTCAGGTGATCCACCTGCCTCAGTTTCCCAAAGTGCTGGGATTACAGGTGTGAGCCACCAAGCCCGGCTGGTCAGATGTTTCTTAAATTTTAGTCATTCCAGTAGATGTGAGTGATATCTCATTTTGGTTTTAATTTGCTTTTTCTTAGTGACTAATGGAAGTTTGAACATCTTTCATGTGCTTATTGGCCATTTAGAAATCCTCTTTGTGAATAACCTATTCAAGTCTTCTGCCTAGTTTTATATTGGATGGTCTTTTTCTTTCTTTCTTTCTTTTTTTTTTTTTCCCTAAGACAGGGTCTCACTCTGTCGTGCAGGCTGAGCACCGTGGTGCTATCATAGCTCACTGCAACCTCAACCTCCTGGGTTCAAACCATCCTCCCACTTCAGCTTAGGTTCATGCCACCATGTCCAACTAATTTTTGTGTGTTTTGTAGAGATGGGGTCTCACTATATTGTTCAGACTGGTCTCGAACTCCTTTATGCAAGCCGTCATCCCACCTTAGCCTCCCAGAGTGTTGGGATTACAGGTATGAGCCACCATGCAAGCCCGATTCTCTGCTCTTTTTTTTAATATATAATTTTTTTTATTTTTTTGAGATGGAGTCTCACTGTTGCCCAGGCTGGAGTGCAGTGGCATGATCTCTGCTCACTGCAATCTCTGCCTCCCAGGTTTAAATGATTCTCCTGCCTCAGCCTCCCATGTAGCTGGGATTACAGGCGCACACTACCATGCCTGACTACTCTGCTCATTCTTTTATTCACTCCTCTGTTCACCTACAGTCTCTCTGTCTCATTAGCTACTTTACTCACTCCCGTCATCTACACCTGCCTCCTTTCATGCCACACACATTTCTTGAGTACCAATCACAGCCACACTGTTTTGTGTCAGGCTTTGCACACATTACCTTGTTTTAGATAAACCACTAGAATCCAAACAGTTACCCCATTTCACTGATGAGGAAGCGGGCGTGTGGGAAGGTTATGAAGTCGCTTGCAGGGGCCCCCAGCTCTCACAAATGTGGGTTGCTTTCCCTGCCTTTATTCTTCCTGTCTCTCTCTTTTCCTCAGGGAAAGAATATTCCAAGGGAGACAGCCGATACATCCTGTAAGTGTTTGCGTCTGTCAGTGGAGACTGGCATTGGTTTTGGGGGAGTGGTGAGTTGGGAAGCACTAAAGGGGTCACCTGTGGGAAGAGCATAGCAATGCCAGTGTCCCCTCATGCTTTCTCCCGCAGGGGTGACAACTTCACAGTGTGCATGGAGAGCATCACAGTTTGCCTTTGGGGACCACTCAGCCTGTGGGTGGTGATTGCCTTTCTCCGCCAGCATCCCCTACGCTTTGTTCTACAGCTCGTGGTCTCTGTGGGTGAGGAGAGGGCACTAGAGGGGCACTGGGCACTAGGTGGGGGAAGGTACATCCCTGGGATCTCTCAATGGTGCCCTTCCAGGGATGAGTCAGACTCAATGACAAACCCCCTGAGGCTCTGGAATGGCCATGCCCTTCTCTGAGCCTGTGCTTTCAGGTGGGGAGGGTTCGTTTTTCTTCCTCCTCCTCCTCCTCCTCCATCACAAAGTCTCCTGTGAAGGTTATGTGAGGTGGCTCAGGGTGACAGGAAGCCCCTGGAACCTCCAGGATCAGGACTCTGAAATCCTTTCCTGTAAGTCAGTCATCTTTTTTTTTTTAAAAAAGACGGGGTTTCACCGTGTTGGTCAGGCTGGTCTTGAACTCTCGACCTCAGGTGATCCACCCACCTTGGCCTCCAAAGTGCTTGGATTATAGGCGTGAGCCACCATGCCCAGCTCAGTCATCTTTTTTAAAAAACAGGGTCTGGCTCTGTCACTCAGGCCAGAGTGCTATAGCATGATCTCGGCTCACTGCAACCTCTACCTCCTAGGCTCAAGCAATCTTCCCCCCTCAGCCTCCTGAGTAGCTGAGACTACAGACATGTGCCACCGTGCCTGGCTAATTTTTGTATTTTTAGTAGAGATGGAGTTTTGCCATGTTGCCCAGGCTGATCTCAAGCTCTTAAGCTCAAGCAATCCTCCTGGCTTGGCCTCCTGAAGTGCTGGGATTATAGGCTTGAGCCACCATGCCTGGCCTCAGTCGTCTTTTGTTGTTAAATTGTTAGCTTTCGGGGTCCAAAGTGGCTCCCGCCAGAGGTCATGGCACTCGCGAAGGCGAAGTCATCAGTTCAAGGCTAACCTGAGCAACCTCATAAGCTCAAACTTATTGGCAAAAAAAAAAAAAAAAAATTGTTAGCTTTCTTTAGTTCTAGAGATACGAGTTATCTTTAGTCCCAGAATCCTAAGCTGTCTTGGATTCTAGGATTTTGAATTTCCTTAAATCTGAAGGCGTGAGCTCTCCTGAGTTCAGATATTCTCAGCTCTCTGTCGTCTGGAATCCCACTTTTCTGATTTCTTAGATTTTCAGCTTTAGGATTTCAGAATACTTAGCTCTGAGACCCTAAATGATGACTTGGAAAGTGCCTTGGAATAGAGTTGGGGAAAGCTTCCCCTTCCTCACAGGGGCTTCTCCTTTCCCTCCTGCCACCCACAGGTCAGATCTATGGGGATGTGCTCTACTTCCTGACGGAGCACCGTGACGGATTCCAGCATGGGGAGCTGGGCCACCCTCTCTACTTCTGGTTTTACTTTGTCTTCATGAACAGCCTGTGGCTGGTGCTGCCTGGAGTCCTTGTGCTTGATGCTGTGAAGCACCTCACTCATGCCCAGAGCACGCTGGATGCCAAGACCACGAAAGCCAAGAGCAAGAAGAACTGAGGAGTGGTGGACCGGGCTCAAATGCTGGCCAAGGAGGAGCTCTCCACCTGCCAGAAGAGTCTAGTCCTGCTCCCACAGGTTGGAGGGACAAAGCTAATTGATCTGTACACTCAGGCTCGTGCGTGGGCACGAGACGGGGAAGAAAAGGGCTGTGTGGAGGCACTGCTGGGAGCCATTGGGACACAGATACAAGAGAAGCCAGGAGGTCTATGATGGCGGCAATTTTTAAAATCGGGAAATAAAAGATCTTAACTCTAATACTGAGTGATCTTTAATTACTAACCCCAGAGATGCCCTATGACCCCACAGACCCCCATCGGCCTCATATAGACCTCCCACCTCTGACCTCACAAACCTCCATCACTGACCTCCCAAGACCCCATAACTTACCACACAGACCCTGTCACTGGCCCCACAGTCACCTTCTCTTAAGCTGCCATAGCAAAATACCACAGACACATATATATCATGGAATATTATGCAGCCATAAAAAAAACGATGAGTTCATGTCCTTTGTAGGGACATAAATGAACCTGGAAACCATCATTCTCAGCAAGCTGACACAAGAACAGAAAATCAAACACCACATGTTCTCACTCATAGGCAGGTGTTGAACAATGAGAACACATGGACACAGGGAGGGGAGCATCACACACTGAGGTCTGTTGGGGAAATAGGGGAGGGACAGCGTGGGGTAGGGAGTTGGGGAGAGATAGCATGGGGAGAAATGCCAGATATAGGTGATGGGGATGGAGGCAGCAAATCACATTGCCATGTGTGTACCTATGCAACAATCTTGCATGTTCTTCACATGTACTCCAAAACCTAAAATACAATTTAAAAAAAAGTATTACATGCAGGGCCAAGCGCAGTGGTTCACACCTGTAATCCCAGCACTTTGGGAGGCTGAGGTGGGAGAATCGCTTAGGCTCAGGAGTTCAAGACCAGCCTGGGCAATATGATGAAACCCCGTCTCTACAAAAATCAGCCAGGCATGGTGGCACACACCTGTAGTTGAGACAGGAGGATCACTTGAACCTGGGAGGTCAAGGCGGCAGTGAGCTGAGAGTGCACCACTGCACACCAGCCTGGCTGACAAAGTGAGACCCCATCTCAAAAAAATAAAAGAATGAAAAAAAAATGCCACAGACTAGGGGGACTAAACCATGGAAATTCATTTTCTCACAGTTCCAGAGTCCAAGATCAAGCTGTCAGCAGGTTTGGCTTCTGCAGCCCCTCTCCGTAGCTTGCAGGTGGCCACCTTCTCACTGTGTCCTCACATGGTCTCTATGAACTAGTGTCCCTGGTGTGTCCAAATTTCCTCTTTTTTTTTTTTTTTTTTTTTGAGACAGGGCCTCACTATGTGCCAGGCTAGAATGCAGTGATGTGATCATGGTTCACTGCAGCCTCTACCTCCCGGGCTCCAGCGATCTTCCTGCCTCAGCCTCCTGAGTATCTGGGACTATACAGGTGTGTACCACCACATACTGCTAGTTATTTTTATTTTTTATAGCAATGGAGTCTCACTGTTGCCCAGGCTGGACTCAAACTCCTGGGCTCAAGCAATCCTCCCACCTCAGCTTCCCAAGTAACTGGGACAACAGGCATATGCCATTATTCCTGATTAACTTTTTAAAAAATTTTTTGTAGAGATGGGGTCTCACTATGTTGCCCAAGCTGATCTCAAACTCCTATACTCAAGTGATCCTCCCACCTCAGCCTCCCAAGTAGCTGAGAGTATAGGTGTGAGCTACCATGTCTGGCCCAAATTTTCTTTTGTGAGGACACCATTTGACCAGCCTGGGCAACATGATGAAATCCCATCTCTACAAAAAATTTTTAAAAATTAGCCAGGCATCATGAGGCCAAGGTGGGAGGATCACCTGAGCTGGGGAGGTGGAGGCTGCAATGAGCCATGATCATGGTAAGACCCTGTCTTTAAAAAAAAAAAAAAAAAAAAAAAAAAAAAAAAAGGGGCTCCTGCCAGGCGCAGTGGCTCAATGCATGTAGATCACCTAAGGTCGGGAGTTTGAGACCAGCCTGGCCAACATGGTGAAACTCTGTCTCTACTAAAAATACAAAAATTAGCCTGGCATGGTGGCACATGCCTGTAATCCCAGCTACTTGGGAGGCTGAGGCAGGAGAATCACTTGAACCCAGGAAGTCAAGGTTGCAGTGAGCCAATATCATGGCACCACTGTACTCTAGCCTGGCAGCCTAGGCAACAGAGACTGTCTCAAAAAAAAAAGGGTAGGGGAAGCTGTGTTGGATTAGGGCCTACTATATGAGTCTCATTTTAACTTAACCACCTCTTTAAAGTCCCTGTCTCCAAATATAGTCACATTCTGTGATATTGGGGGTTAGGGCTTTAACATACAAATTTGGGGAGGACACAGTTCAGTCTATAACATTCTGTTCTCTCTGGCCTCCCAGAATTCATGTCCTTGTGTGCAAATGTGTTCACCCCCATCCCAGCGACCCAATGCTCTGTGCTCTCTCTTGTGCTTTCTCTCTCTTTTTTTTTTTTTTTTTTTGGAGACAGTCTTACTCTGTGGCCCAGGCTGGAGTGCAATGGCATGATTTCAGGTCACTGCAACCTCCGCCTCCCGAGCTCAAGTGATTCTCCTGCCTCAGCCTCCCAAGTAGCTTGGATTACAGGCATGTGCCACCATGCCAGGCTAATTTTTGTATTTTTAGTAGAGACAGAGTTTTACCATGTTAGCCTGGCTGGTCTCGAACTCCTGGCCTCAGGTGATTCGCCCAACTTGGCCTCCCAAAGTGCTGGGATTATAGGCATAAACCACTGTGCCTGGCCTCTAAAAACTCTTAAACCAGTCCAACATTAAGTCCCAAGTCTTACATAAATGTCATCCAAATCAAGTGTGAATGAGACTGGAGGTATGATTCATCACGATGCAAAAATTCTTCTCTAGCTGTGAACCCGTGAAACCAGATAAATATCTGCTTCCAAAATTCAGTGGTAGGACAAGCATAAGCTAGATAGATATTTCCATTCCAAAAAGGAGAAATCAGAAAGAAGAAAGGGATCACAGGACAGGCATGGTGTCTCATGCACGTAATCCCAGCATTTTGGGAGGCTGAGATGGGAGGGTCACTTGAACCCAGGAATTTGAGACCACCCAGGGCAACATGGTGAAACCCTGTCTCTACAAAAAATTAAAAACTTAGCCAGGTATGGTGGCTGGGACCTATAGTCCCAGCTCCTCAGGAGGCTGAAGTGGGAGGATTGATTAAGCCCAGGAGGCCAAGGCTGCAGTGAGCCCTGATCTCACCCCTATACCCCAGCCTGGGCAACAGAGTGAGATCCTGTCTCAGAAAAAAAAAAAAGGAGCACAGGTCCCAAATAAGTTTGCAACTGAATAAGACAAATTCTATTAGATTTTTAAGACTTGAGAATGATCCTATTTGGCTCTGTGCTCTGTCCTCTGGGCCCATAAGATTGGGGGCCCCACTTTCCTGGGTCACTGGAGAGGCGGTGTTGCTCACTGAGCTCTGGGTGGCAGCCTGGCCCACTGAAACAGAGGAGGTTTCTCTGCCCTCTGGAACTGAGGAGGAGATAGCCTCACCTTTGGGATTATTCTTCCTTTTTCTTGAAGTATAATGCATATACACAGCCAGAAAGCTCTGTTGTCTTGTCCTGTTGAATCCCAGAAGTCCTGCAGTCTTCTTTCATTTTGTCCAGTCTCTGTCCTCTTTAGTCCCAGCTGGCCGTGTTTCTGCTGGTATCTCTATTTCTGGCTTCTGCTGAGATGGCTGATTAGGTCAGTGAGTCACACCCATGATCTCTTTGTGGCATGATTGTCTAGCCACACCCTTTGTCTTGTCACCAGAGCACATTCTCAAATTTTGCAGTATTGGATAGGCTGTGAATTTTTTTTTTAATCTTCACATTCAAGTTCCTTTCTGCCTGACAATTTCTTTTTCAATTTCTCTCTCTCCTCTTGCATTCTACTAGAAGCAGCAAAGAGAAATGAGGCCACATAACACACTGCTTAGAAATCTCCTTAGCTAAATCTCCCAAGTTCACATCTCAACTTCTACCTTCCACAAAACAGTAGAACACAATTAACCAAGTTCTTTGCCTTTCCTCCATTTTCCAATAACATACTCCTCATTTCCATCTGAGGGCTCACCAGGAGTACCCTCAACATCCATATTTCTACCAGTAGTCTTCAAGATAATTGTCTTAGTCCGTTTGGACTGCTTTAACAAAATACCATAAACTGGGTAGCTTATGGGCAACTGAAATTGATTTCTCACGGTTCTGGGGTCTGGGAAGTCCAAAATCAAGGTGCTGGCAAATTCAGTGTCTAATGAGGGCCTGTTTCCTTACAGGTGGCTCCTTCTCTCTGTACCCTCACATGGTGGGAGAGTAGAAATCTGGTCCCTTCATCACGTATAATGGAATGACCTAATCACCTCCCAAAGGCCCCACCTCCTAATATCATTACACTGGGGATTAGGTTTCAACATAGGGATTGGAGGTGGCAGGGGGACACAAATGTTAAGAGCATAGCAGCAACATGTTTTTCGGTTTTGTTTTTGGTTGTTTTTTGTTGTTGTTGTTGTTGTTGTTGTTTTGCGACGGAGTCTCACTCTGTTGCCAGGCTAGAGTGCAGTGGTGTGATCTCAGCTCCCTGCAACCTCCGCCTCCCAGGTTCAAACAATTCTCCTGCCTCAGCCTCCCGAGTAGCTGGGACTACAGGCACGTGCCACCACGCCCAGCTAATTTTTGTATTTTTAGTAGAGACACGGTTTCAGCATGTTGGCCAGGCTAGTCTAGATCTCTTGACCTCTAAAAAAAAAATTAGATCTCTTGACCTTGTGATCCACCCACCTTGGCCTCCCAAAGTGCTGGGATTACAGAGGTGAGCCATCATGCCCGGCCAACATAGATTTTTTTCTAACATGTACCTCAAAACTCATCCCAGTTCCAAAGCCACTTCCACATTTTCAGGTATTTGTTACTGCAGCACCCCACTTCCCAGGACCAAGATCTATGTCAGTTTTCTAGCACTGCTGTAACAAAATGCCACAGACCTGGTGGCTTAAACAACAAAAATTTATTTTCTTACAGTTCTGGAGGTGGGAAATGCCAAGTTCAAGGTGTCAGCCAGTTTAGTGTCCCCTGAGGCCTCTGTCCTTGGCTTGTAGATGGTCACATTCTCGCTGTGTCCTCACACAGTCTTCCCTCTGCCTGCGCATGTCTGTGTCCTAATCTCTTCTTATAGGGACACCAGCCATATTGGATTAGGACCTGCCCTCACCAACCTCATTTTAACTTAATCACCTCTTGAAAGGCCCTATTTTCAAACAGTCACATTCTGAAGTACTAAGGGTTAGAGCTTCAGCATGAATGTTGGGGAGATACAATTCAGTCAGTAGTATCTCTCTGTGCTCACCCCACTCGCTCCCCAATACTTAACCTCACAGACCCCCATCATATGCCTTGATTACTCAGCTCACAGATCCCCCTGCATTGCTGCCACATGGACCCCCCCAACACCTACCCTATAGACTTCCCATCACAAACCCTAAGGATCCCCCATCACTCACCCCACAGGCCCCATCATGAACCCTGCATATTCACATCATTCACCTCACAGAGCCACATTACTTATCCAACAGACCCCACCCCTGGATCATTCAGCTTATTGGCTCCTAATCACTTCACTCACTCTACAGACTCACTCATCACTGACTCTACAAAGCTCTAATCACTCACCCCACTGACATCCCATTACTAACCCCACAGGTGCCTTCCAGTCACCTCACAGACTCTCCGTCTCTCACACCACAAAGCCCTCTCACCTTGCAAGCTAGCACATCAGCACTCCTACAGCTCCCCCAGTCATTCACCCACCACACAGATGCTCCCATCACCCCACAGAACCTCATCAGTCATCTACACATCCCCATTCCTCAAAGACCTTCACTTCCCCTACAGACTCTCCCCACAGCCCCCATCATTAACCATATAGAATATTGTCACTTGCCACTCAATACCCCATCATTCACTCTCTAGGCTCCCTGCACCCTGCAGACTCCTCCGTCACTACCCCACAGATTCCTATTACTCAGTTTATTGTGCCCTGATCATACCTTCCATAGGCCCCATCACTAACCCCACAAACCCTCATCCTCCCCTGTGTTCATTGGCTCTGGCTTCCATAACAAAACACCACAGACCAGGTGGCTTAAACAATAAACTTATTTTCTCACAGTTTGGGAGGCTGGAAGGTCCAAGGGTAAGGTGCCATCAGGATTGGTGTCTGGTGTGGCTTCTCTCCCTGGCTTGCAGATGGCTACCTTCTCACTGTGTCCTCACGTGGCCCTTTGTGCACTGACCCCCAGTGTCCCTGGTAAGGACATCAGTCTTGTAAGGACACCAATCCTGTTAAATTAGGGCCCCACCCTTATAACCTCATTTAACCTTAATTAGCTCCTTAAAGGTTCTATCTCAGATATAGTCACATTGGAGTTTAGGGCTTCAACATATGAATTTGGGGAGGAGGACATCATTCAGTTCATAACATTCCCTCAGATGCCACAGCTCTCACCTCACAGAGTCCCCAGCACTCCTGCTGCACACATTCCATCACTCAGCCTCTTGGCTTCTGATAAGCCACCCCGAAGACATCCCATCACTAATTCTATAGGTCCCCCATCACTTCCCCGACGTGCCCCATCAACCCATAAGATGCCCATCACTCCCTACAAACATGTTCATTTGTTCTGTAGATTGCCCATTATTGACCCCACAGAAACCCCATAACTCACCCCACAGACTTAGACTCCATGATTCACCCCCACAAGCCCCTATCACCTCAACATCTTCACCCTGAAGATCCCATAACTCACCCCAGAAGCCCCTCATTGGTCACCCTACCAGCCCCATCACTGACCTCACAGACCCAGCACTCATCCTACAGATCCTCCTTTACTAACCCTATAAGCACCCCATAACTCACCTTGCAGAACCCATCACTCAACCCACAGAGTCCATCTCTCATCCCACAGGCCCTTTATCATCATACCACCATTCCATCCCTCAACTCACAGTCCTCCACCATTTACCATGTAACCCCATCACTTACAGATGCCGTCATTCACCCCGTGACTTACCTCATAGTCTACCTATCATGCACCCACAGACCCCCATCTACCCCAGGGATCCCCCATCACTCTCCCCACAGACCTGTCATTCACCTAACAGATACCCTTCACTTACTCTACAGACCCCCATCACTCATCCTGCCGGCTATCATTACCTTATAAACCCTCAGTCATAAAACAATTGGGTACTTGAGAAGTTTTGAAGAGATGGAAAAGAATAAATAATAAAACTACAGATACCTGGAGACTGGCTTCAAGTGACTCGTGTAAGGCCAGGCGCGATGGCTCACACCTGTAATCCCAACACTTTGGGAGGCCCAGGAGGGTGGATCACCTGAGGTTCAGGAGTTCAAGACCAGCCTGGCCCACATGGTGCAGCCCATTTGCACTAAAAATACAATAGAATTAGCCAGGTGTGGTGGCAGGCACCTGTAGTCTCAGCTACTTGGGAGGCTGAGACAGGAGAATCACTTGAACCTGGGGGGCAGAGATTGCAGTGAGCTGAGACCGTGACATTGCACTCCAGCCTGGGCAACAAGAACGAAACTCTGTCTCAAAAAGAAAAAAGAAATATCAAGGGACCTGCGGACTTCAGTTCAAATCCTGGCTCTGCTTAGGCCTACAGTATATAGCTTTGGAGAGATGCCTCACTGTTACGGTCAAAGCCCTGCATGATCTCACTCTATTCTCACCTTGTCTGCTGTCACTTGCCTACCATTCACTCTACTTAAAGGCATGCTGACCTCCTTGCTCTTCCTCAGACACAACAGGCATAGCTCCAAGTTCCATCCATTGCACTGCCTACTCTCTGTGACACTACCCCCTTTGACTTTGAGCTTTTTTCTCCCTGGCTTTCAGTACTGTAATCTGTAAAATGCTAAGAATAATAACACCTACCTGCTATGGTTCGAATGTTTGTCCCCTCCAAAACTCATGTTGAAATGAAATCTTTATTTTAACAGTATTAAGAAGGTGGGAAATCCGACTATGATATTTGAGAGATGGGACCTTGGGAGGTAATTAGGATTAGATTAGATGAGGTCACGAGGGTGGGGCATTAGTAGCTTTCTAAAAGGAGAAACAGATCTGAGCTAGCAAGGTCAGCCCCTCACCATGTGATGCCCTGCTCTGCCTCACTACTCTACAGAGAGGCCCCACCAGCAGAAGGCCCTCACCAGATGTTACCCCTTGACCTTGGACTTCCCAGCCTCCAAACTGTAAGACATAAATTTCATTTCCTTCCCTCCTTCCTTCCTTCCTTCCTTCCTTCCTTCCTTCCTTCCTTCCTTCCTTCCTTCCTTTCCTTCTCTCTCTCTCTCTCTCTCTCTCTCTCTCTCTCTCTCTCTCTCTCTCTCTCTCTTTCTTTCAGACAGGGTTTCACTCTGTTACCCAGACTGGAGTGCAATGGCACAATCACAGCTCACTGCAGCCTCAAACTTCTGGGCATAAGCAATCCTCCTCCCTCAGCCTCTTAAGTTGCTAGGACAACAGGCATGTGGCCACGCCCAGCTAATTTTTTAATTATTTGTACAGACAGGAGCTTGCTATGTTCCCGAGGCTGGTCTTGAACTGGCCTCAAACAATCCTCCCACCTTAGCCTCCCAAATTTCTTTTTTTTCACATCTGGGAAGAAAATCACTTTATTCTGATTAACTCACAAAGAATAAAATCATAACAGCTGGTTTAAGGAGGCCACACAAACATTTGACCAGCTCCAAATTCTACAGAGTAGGAACACCCCCTTCCATTTCAATTCTGAAGCAAGGAAGCTAGGAATGACAGGAGAGGTTTAACTGATGGCTACACTTTATACCTTCACTATTAATTAAATTTTTATGTTAACTTGGTTATGAGAGCTGGTTTTCCATTTCTCCAGTTTGAACTTCTTGATTAGGCCAATTCGTTTGCAAGTCGGCACTGTTTCAGCACCTCACTGAAACCCTCACAGAGCTTGATGTCGCCTTAGTTCTGGGCGCACTCCAAGAACTGTTTGATCTCACAGAAGCAAGGCTGCTGCTGCTGTGCCAGCTGGGTTCCCTGAGGCTCCTGGTAAGTGATGTCAGGCCTTGCAGGCTCAGGATCACTTCCTCCACTGAAGCCCCCAGTAATGGCATGGCCCAGTGTGTGCCCCACAGCAGAGCCCACAGCCACGCCAGCTGCAGTGGTTGCCATCTGGGACAGCAGACCTGGCTGCCGGGGCGCAGCAGCAGGAGAGCCAACTGCAGAGGAGGGTGCCGCTGCTGGTGGCTGAGCGGCTGGTGTTGGCCTGGGCGCAGCTCTTATCTGAGGGGCCCGGCTGGCCGGAGGGGCCATGCGGGAGGTGCGGCTTCAGCTTCCACGTGGCATCCTAGCTATGGGGCTGCTTGGCCTTTAGACGTGCAATAACCAGCCAAATTTCTTTATAAATTACCCAGTCTTGGGCATTTGATTATAGCAACAGAAAAATGGACTAAGATACTACCTCATAGGGTTTTTATGCAGATTATTAGAATTAATTTATGTAGACTGCCTAGCATACACTTTGTATTTGTTGCATGGAAGAATGAATAAACAAAAGAGAAAGTTCTCCCCAGGACTATGGCAGGGACTTCCTTTTTTATCTCCTTGCTTCCAGTATCTTTCTATCCAAGTCTCTCCCCAGGACTAAGACAGAGGCATCTGACCACATCATATACCCCTGTCTAAACCTTTGCCCCAGTGCCCTCAGGATCGATTCCAAACTCCAGGCTAATGCTTTGCACATCCCACCCCATGATAAATAAAAAGCAGACTCTTAGTCCTTGTTTCCATCAGAAAATCCAGCCATGTTATAGGTGATTTTGACTCTAAGTACGTGGAGCAAGAGAGACATGCCCATAACCCTCTTCTGGCTTTCAGAGAAAATCTCCATTATTTATACCTTCTAAAAATAGAGATATCTATTTAATATTAATACCAAGGCAACATATTATTTTAAAAGACACCAAAATAGAATTGTAGACTTGCCTAAAAAGTTAACCTTAAGGGTAGCATCCATATGACACAGACACAATAGTTGAAGTGCTAATATCTTACAAGACTCCATTGTTGGAAATAACATTTGTAAGTGCAGCTTGTATTTTGTCCAAATCACACCCATGTTGTGCAATGAAGTGGGAAGAGTGCCTTTTTGCATTTTGCCATACATAAAGTTTCTCAGAAAAGTCTAAGATATATTCAGCAAATCAGCCAATATCTAGTAGACATACACTGTTTAAGAACAGGACCAACCTTAACATGTTATGAAGATTAAGACAAAAGCAAACTTTTGTGGGTTTTTATTTTGAATTGGGGTCTCTGTCACCCAGGCTGGAGTGTATTGGCATCATCACAGCTCCATTGCAATCTGGACCTCCCAGGCTCAAGCAGTCCTCCCACCTCAGCCTCCTGAATAGCTAGCAGCACAGGTGCACACCACCACACACAGCTAATTTATTTTTAAAAATTGTAGAAACAGGGACTTCCTATGTTGTCCAGGCTGGTCTCAAACTCCCTGGCTCAAGTGATCCTCCCACCTCAGCCTCCCAAAGTGCTGGGATTACAAGTGTGAGCCACTGTGCCCGACTCAGTTTATTTTTTAAAATTTTTCTTCATTTATTCTTGGCTTCTTGCATTCATTGTTTGGAGCACTATGTGCTCAGCACATTACTAAGCTTTTTGCATGCTCTGCTGGGCATTTCCCATTTGCTGTTCCAGATCCATTATCCACCCTGCTCTGGGACCCCAGGAAGCTGATCTTTTACAGATGGTATCATTTAGGCTCCATTGATTGGTTCATAGTTGAGGCTGGCCACTTCTCTTTTAATGGGTCCCTGGCAGTCAGTACCAACATTTTAGTCAGGTTTCAAAGAAATCTCTAGACTAAGCTGGACAGAGGCTCTTCCAATGATTTAGTGATTCCCCAAGATCTGAGAATGTGAAACTTGGAAAAGGGACACAAAGACCGGGGGTCCTTTGAGCTGGTTCCATAATGGCAGAGCTTTAGAGACATGCTGCTGAGCTCCCTGGGGTTGTCTTGCTTTCTGTCCTCTGAAGGCTTGATTGTTAACTTCTCCCTGGGTTTCAGTTAGAAGCATTAGTGTCCTTCCTGGAGTGGAATTACCTGTAAGTTTTCCTCCTAGTTATATAAACTTGGGAAAGTATGATCTAGTCAAGTTTCAGACAATGGCAAACTAAAAAGCTAGAACTCCAGAGAGCATAAAAATGTTTTTTGGGGATAAATTATTTAATGAAGTATAACATTCATACAGAAAGTACAAAAATCATCAATGTACAAAATCTCCATGAATTTTCACAACGCATAAAACATTTTCCTTTTTCTTCTTTATCTGATTTTACTAAGTCGAGGTGTAAATTATTAATTTTTTTTTAGACAGGGCCTTGCCCTGTGATACAGGTTACTGCAGTGGTGTGATCATGGCTCACTGCAGCCTTGACTTCCTAAGCTCAGCTATCCTGCCGCTTCAGCCTCCGGAGTAGCTGGGATTGCAGGCGTGCGCCACCACGTCCAGCTAATTGTTTATTTTTTTTGTTAGACAGGGTCTTGCCGTGTTTCCCAGGCTGCTCTAGAACTCCTGGGCTCAAGCGATCCGCTCGTCTCGGCCTCCCGAAGTGCTGAGATTGTAAGGCGTGAGCCACTGCGCCCTGCCGAGTATATTTTTTAAAACACTTTGATCGGGGTCGGTGCTCACACCTGTAATCCCCACACTTTGGGAGGCCAAGACGGGCAGATCACTTGAGGTCAGGAGTTCGAGACCAGCCTGGGCAACACGGCTAAACCCGGTCTCTACAAGAAATACACAAATCGGCTGGGTGTGGTGGCGCGCACCTGTAGTCCCAGCTACTCGGGAGGATGAGGCGGAAGGATCGCTTGGTCATAGCTCACTCTGAAGCTACAGTGAGCTGTGATCGCGCCATTGCACTCTATCTTGGGTGACAGAGCGAAACCTTGCCTCCAAAAAAAAAAAGGATTTTTTTCGGTTCAGTGGGTTCATTTAAAGCGAGGGCCAACGGTATTTGAAATATATGACATAATCTGTCAGCAGAGGCATGAGGCAACGTGAGGCGGGGTGTGGGGTCTGACGTCATCACGCAGCAGCTTCCTTTCCCCGCCCATTTCTCTCGGCGAACGAGGTTTAACACCTTTGTGAATACGGAAGTAGACTGTCAAAACAACCAAACCGTGGGCCTGGGGGAGGCGGGGCCTCAGTAGGCGTCTGCTCGCTAGCTGAAATAAAGCAAAACGCCCTACTTTTGAGGGGCGGGACTCCTGACAACAGTACTCGGCGCAGGCGCAGAGGCGACCTCAAGGCAGGGCTGGGTGGGCGGGGCGGTGAGGGAGGAGGTTCGCGCCGTACCCTCTGCGCCTGCGCCCTGGTGCGAGGTGGGGCGGCGGGCTTCAGTACAGTAGAGTGCGCGCCGGGTTGGGGGCCAACTGTCTGCCGTCACCCTGAGACGGGCGGTGACGGGATGGCGGCAGCCTCCGGGGCCTCGGACTTGTCTGGCTCCGGAGCGCCCCCGCCCGGCGTGGGAGCTCAGGCGGCGGCGGCCGCTGAGGAGGAGGAGCGAGAGGTGGTGCGGGTCCGAGTCAAGGTGAGGCTGGCGGAGAGTCGGCCCAGCAGCTGGGGCATCCCAGGGGATGGGGAAGCGGTGGCTGTCATAGGATAGAGGGCGGGAGCTGAGATTTGGGACAAAACCTGAGCGATGAAGCTTGAGGGCTAAGTGATGGTGGCGAGGAGGAGGGAGGGCCTGAGTGCCTTGGAACCTTAGCGCTGTACCTAAGGTTCTGAAAATGGAGAGACAGAGGTCTATGGGAAGAATGGGTGGAGCTTATGGACAGAGGGGAGGGGCTATGGGGCGGGAGGAGGGGCCGTAGTAGTTGAGGGTGGGGTTCTGAGGTATGAGAAGATGCTGGCCGTGGAGTCAGTCAACTCATAAGTGTTGAGAGTGCACTTATGAGCAAGTCCCCACTTTGATGAGCTGATGGGCTCGTGGGAGGAGCCAAAGAAATGAGATGCTTCGAACACTGAAATAATTAAAAAGGTTATGAACTAGGGAGTCACTTTAGCCAAGATTGTACGGGAAAATCCCCAGAGTATTGAAGGAGCAGAGCCCTGAATAAAAGTAGTCAGCCATGTGCATATTAGAAGGGAAGAGTATTCTAGGCAGAGGGAATAACAAGGGCAAAGGCTAGGGGATGGGAATGAGCTTGGCATGTTTCCGTAGGTCCCTGATTGCTGGAGTGGAAAGAAGGAGGGGAAGAGTGGTAGGAGGTGAATAAGAGAGCTAAGACAGAGGCAGATCACCAAAGGCCTTTGGTGCGATGTTGAAGAAGAACGCTGTTGCAATAGTTCCAGCAAACGATGGTGGCTCCAACCAACCAGTGGCACTGGCAGTGATGAGAAGAGGGCCCACACATCACTTCAGTGTAATAGAGCTCTAAGGTAGAAGTTTGACATTCAGAAAAAAGATGATGCCTGAGCTGGGAGTGAACCACGTGAAGGAAGTGGGAGGGATGTTCCAGATAGGGGGATCAGCACAGTCACTGGCCTGGAGTCAGGATGGGTTCAAGGTAACTTCTAACAGCTTGGTACTACCAGAGTGTAAAGTTCAAGAAAAAACTGGTGATAGGCTGGCTGGGGCCCTAGGGTTGGCATTGAAGAGATTTAAGCAGGGGAGTGTTGTAGGTAGATGTGTTAGATTGGTTGCAGCATCATAGAGGACTGATTTAACAGCAGCCAGACTGGACATGGTGATTCTGGCAACCATAGTTGAAGGGATATAGAAGAGGGATTGGGGGCCTGAACCCTTGCAGTAGCCTCCTCCTCACTGGACACTGTGGTCCAGAACACCTGCCTTGATCTGGCCCCTGGCACCTCTCTGACTTTACCTTCTGCCACTCTGCACCTCACTCTTCAGCATGGTGATGAGGCTCCTATTGGCCTACCCCATGTCTTCTCTCCCTAGAAATGTGAGAGCTTCTTGGCGCCGGAGTTCCGCTCTTTTGCTGTAGATCCCCAGATCACCTCACTCGACGTGTTGCAGCACATCCTCATCCGAGCCTTTGATTTGAGTGGGTGAGTGGGAAGATGCTGGGGACTGGCCAGTAGGCCACCCACCTCTACAGTGGTTGTCTGGCCTTTGTTTGGTAGGGTTTTTGTTTATTTTGCTACTACAAATAATCCCAGAGTGAACAGCCACATATGCATGTCTTAGAGTACAGTAGTCTCCTTTTATCTGTGGTTTTGCTTTCTGCAGTCAACCTCAGTCTGCAAATATTACATACAATAAGATATTTTGAGAGAGAGAGAGAGACCACATTCATATTACTTTTATTACAGTTTACTGACAGTCCCCAACTTACAATAACTGGACTTAGGATTTGTCTACTTTACAACGGTGCAAGTGATATGCATTCAGTAGAAACTGTACTGTGAGCGCCCAGCCATTCTGATTTTCACTTTCAGTAGTGTTCAATAAATTACAAGACATATTCAACACTATTATAAAGCAGGCTTTGTATGTTAGATGTTTTTGCCCAACTATAGGCCGATGTAAGTGTTCTGAGCACGTTTAAGGTAGGCGAGGCTAACTTCTGATGTTTGGTAGGTTAGATATGTTAAATGCATTTTCTTTTTTTTGAGATGGAGTCTCGCTATCACCCAGTCTGAAGGGTAGTGACACGATCTCGGCTTACTGCAGCCTGCACCTCCTGAGTTCAAGTGATTCTCCTGCTGCAGCCTCCCAAGTAGCTGGGACTACAGGCATGCACAACTACACCCAGATAATTTTTTTTTTTTGAGACAGAGTTTTGCCCTTGTACCCCAAGCTGCTGTGCGATGGTGTGATCTCGGCTCACTTCAACCTCTGCTTCCTGGGTTCAAGTGATTTTCCTGCCTCAGTCTCCTGAGTAGCTGGGATTACAGGCACCCACCACCACACCTAGCTAATTTTTGTATCTTTAGTAGAGACGGGGTTTCACCATATTGGCCAGGCTAGTCTCAAACCCCTGACCTCAAGTTATCTGTCCGCCTTAGCCTCCCAAAGTGCTAGGATTATAGGTGTGAGGCACCACAGCCAGCGCCAGATAATTTTTTGAACTTCTCTTTTTTTTTTTTTTTTTTGAGACAGAGTGTCACTCTGTTACCCAGGCTGGAGTACAGTGGCCTGATCTTGGCTCACTGAAGCCTCTGCCTCCTGGGTTCAAGCGATTCTCATGCCTCAGCCTCCTGAGTAGCTGGGATTACAGGTGTGTACCACCACACGCAGCTAATTTTCACCATGTTGGTCAGGCTGGTCTGAACCTCCTGACCTCAAGTGATCTACCCACCTTGGCCTCCCAAAATGTTGGGATTACAGGCATGAGCCTCTGTGCCCGGCCAATTTTTTTTATCTTTAGTAGAGACGGGGTTTCACCACGTTGCCCAGGGCAGTCTCAAAGTCCTGAGCTCAAGTGATCTGCCCACCTCAGCCTCCCAAAGTGCTGGGATTACAGATGAGCCACTTTGCCCAGCCAAATGCATTGTCAAGTTACAGTATTTCCAATTTATGATGCGTTTATTGGTATTTAACTATCATAAATCAAAAAGCATTTGTATTGTCATAATTGTTCTATTATTGTTAATCTCTTACTGTGCCTAATTTATCAATTAAACTTTATCATAGGTATGTATATATGTGAAAAAAACATAGTATATATAGGGCTTGGTACTATTTTCGGTTTCAGGCATCCACTGTGGGGTCTTGGAATGTATCCCCTGCAGATAAAGAGGGACCACTGTATTTGGAAACGTCCAGTCATGGAATAAATTCCTAGCAGTAGCATTGCCGGGTAAAAGGGTATTTGCTTTATAAAGTTTTAATGGGTGTTTCCAAAATGCTCTCCAGACAGGTTTTACCAATTTATGATCTCACCAGCGGCACATAAAATTCCTGTCTCCCTCACACCCTCACAAATACTGGCTACCGTAAAACTGCAAAATTTGCCAACCTGATAGCTGAAAAGTGGTGTCTCTTGGGGTTAGATGTGATGGTCATTTTGGTTCTGGAGGAATACCTGCCCATGGTGAGAAGTTCAAACTGTACAAAATTGTTGGGTATTTAGGATTCGTCTGTGGTTAGTATCTAGGTGAGTATCACGCAACAAACTTCTTTGCATAGTTGCATAAGTATAGCTGAAGAATAAATTCTTATTTGACTTTTTTTTTTACTTTCTTACATAAACATTTTTGTTGTGAAAAATAACAAAGATTGCTTTATTTTTATATGTAGTAAGAAGGTTGCTGTCTTCCTACTTCTGTCCCCCATCTATCCTGTTACTGTCCCCATAGGGGACCAACTTTTTTTTTTTTTTTTTGTGATGGAGTCTTGCTCTGTCACCGAGGCTGGAGTGCCATGGGACGATCTTGGCTCACTGCAACCTCCACCTCCTGGGTTCAAACGATTCTCCTGCCTCAGCCTCCTGAGTAGCTGAGAATACACTTGCACCACCACACCCGGCTAATTTTTTTGTATTTTTAGTGTAGACAGGGTTTCACCAAGTTGGCCAGGCTGGTCTCAAACTCCTAACCTCAGGTGATCCACCCACCTTGGCCTCCCAAAATGCAGAGATTATAGGCATGAGCCACCGCACCTGGCCAACATTTACCAGTTTCCAATGTGACCTCCAATGTGTGTTTGTGTAACAAAGTGGATATAAATGACTTCACCTCAGGCTGTCCATAATCCTTGGCACAGTCCCTTGCACATAGTAGGAAGTTGTTTTCAACACCATCTATATTACCTTCCTTGTTTTGGAAACTGTCCCTGAGGTCTCCAGGGCACCAGTGGCCCTGCGATCTCCCTCGTATCCTCTGTCCAGGAAGAAGAACTTTGGCATCAGCTACTTGGGCCGGGACCGGCTAGGACAGGAAGCTTACCTCTCACTCCTATCTGACTGGGACCTCAGCACAGCCTTTGCTGCTGCCTCCAAACCTTACCTGCAATTGCGCGTAGATATTCGGCCCTCGGAGGACAGTGAGTACCCAGTGCCCCTGGGAGCTCTGCTCTGGGTTCCCCATAGGGTGATGTCACCCCTCACAATATACTCTCTCACAGTGGGATGGGCAGCAAGTTATCCTAAGTATAGATCCTGGCTCAGCCACTAGGCCTCTGTTTCTTCACTTGTAAAGAGAAAGTTGTATCTTAGAACCATTGTGAGGATTAGATGGGGAAATTCATATAAAATGCCTGGAACAGTGCATGACTGCATAATGAAGGCTCAGAAAGTGTTATAATAATGATAATTATTAGAAAGCTCTAATATAATTATATTGTATTATACTATTATAACCTAGTAATGTATGTTTTAATTATATATAATAGAAATTTATAATATATAACAGGATAGCTTTAGCATCATGTATTTCAGTTATAATACCTAAATGTAACAATGCATGTTATAATAATGCTAGGTGTGTTTATTCATTCCCTCATTCTGCACCCATATTCATTTGTTTGTGTTCTTGCTCACTCATTCATTTGTTCCCTTGACCTCTCAGCCACTTTTTCTTTTCTCATCTTTGTTCCTCCACTCTTGCCTATTCTGGTCCCTGCGAGCAAACAGATAAATTAAGACATGGTCTCAACATTTGATTACAGACCATACGTTAGATAATTGTATTGTGTCGCTATTAAATTTCCTGGGTGTGTGTCGTAGTCATTTTGTGCTACTATAACAGACTACCACAGACTGAGGAATTTGTAAAGAAGAGAAGTTAATTTCTTACAGTTCAGAAGACTGGGAAATCCAAGATCAAGGTGCTGGCAGGTTGTGTGTCTGTTGAGGGCTTTCTTGCTGTGTTCTCACATGAAAGGAGCAGAAGAGAGTGAACACACACCCTCAACCCCTTTTAAGAGCCCTAATCCACCAGATGTGGTAGTTCACGCCTGTAATCCCAGCACTTTGGGAGGCTGAGGTGGGCAGATCACCTGAAGTCAGGAGTTTGAGACCATCCTGACCAACATGGTGAAACCCTGTCTCTGCTAAAAAAAATATAAAAATCAGCCAGGTGTAGTGGCGCATAACTGTAATCCCAGCTACTCGGGAGGCTGAGGCACGAGAATTACTTGAACCTGGGAGGTGGAGGTTGCAGTGAGCCAAGATCGTGCTCAGAGTGAGACTTCATCTCAAAAACAAAAAAGAGCCCTAATCCCATCCATGAGAGCTCTACCCTCATGACTTAATCACCTCTTAAAGGCCTCACCTCTTAATATGATCACACTGGTAATTAAATTGCAGCACATGAATTTGAGGGGAAACATTCAAACCATAGCAGTGTGGTACTGGTATCATATCTACTGAAGGAAAATGTCCTTGTTCTTGGGAAAAACACAGTTAAGTATGAAGGGGTAAAATGTCATGGCGTCTGCAAATAACTTGGCAAAAATAATATGTTTATATACAGAGAGAGCTAAAGCAAATGTGGCCCCAAAAAATGTTAATAGGGGATCTAGATGAAGTATGTATGGGTGTTCAGTGTATTCTTTTAACTTTATTATAGGGTATGAAATTTTTTTTGTTTTTGAGACGGAGTCTTCCTCTGTCACCCAGACTAGAGTGCAGTGGCACAATCTCAGCTCACTGCAGCCTCTGCCTTCCAGGTTCAAGCACTTCTCCTGCCTCAGCCTCCCAAGTAGCTGGGATTACAGGTGCCTGCTAATGCACCCGGCTAATTTTTGTATTTTTAGTAGAGATGGGGTTTCATTATGTTGGCCAGGCTGGTCTCGAACTCCTGACCTCGTGATCCACCCGCCTTGGCCTCCCAAAGTGCTGGGATTACAGGCATGAGCCACTGCACCCGGTCTTGAAATTGTTTTAAATAGTCGTGGAGTGGAAGATGTGATTCCCAGCCTCAAGGAGCTCACGTGCCCATTTGGGATGATTGGGGCACTTTATTGATGTCATAATGACATATAAATAGTTAATGTATATTGAACACTTAGGGCCATTCTGTGCACATAATATTTTTTCATCGAATTGTGAAACTAATCCTATAGGATAGGGACAATAATTTTCCCCATATTATAGATGAGGAAACTGAGGCTCAGAGAGGTGGCAGGACTCGTCCCAGTCATATAGACAATAAGTGGAAGAGCAGGATTTGAACCCAGGCAGTGGCTGAACTGGCTCGTTCTTAACCATTTAATTCTACAACATTTTGGACTTGTTAAAATTGGCAACTTTGCAAAAAAGAGACAGATGAGAGAGAGAAACAAGAGTCAGAGGGAAAGATAGTGACAGAGATGGGCAGGAAGCCAAATAGGAAAAGATAGGTAGACACACGGGAACCTCTGCCACTGAGTAGCCATCTGCTTATATCAGTCACTTAACTAATTACCTGGGCCTTGTTTTCCTCACCTGTAAAAGAGACACAGTAACACTATTTCGGTAAAAAAATCAAATCTGCGTGGCTGATAAACATGTGGAGAAAATCCCAAGTTCATGAGAACCGGGACTAATGCAGAGAGACAGTCACCCAGGAGTCTGGCAGGAATACATCTTTAAAAGGTTTTCTTTTTAGGCCAGACACAGTGGTTCATGCCTGTAATCCCAGCAGTTTGGAAGGCCGAGGCAGGCAGATCACCTGAGGTCAGGAGTTTGAGACCAGCCTGGCCAACATGGCAAAACCCTCTCTCTACTAAAAATACAAAAAATTAGCTGGGCGTGGTGGCAGGCGCCTGTGAACTTCGCTACTTGGAAGGCTGAGGCAGGAGAATTGCTTGAACCCAGGAAGCGGAGGTTGCAGATCTCAAGACTGCACTCCAGCCTGGGCGACAGAGCGAGACTCTGTCTCAAAACAAAAACAAAAACAAAAAAAGTGGCACAATCTCAGCTCACTGCAACCTCCGCCTCCTGGGTTCAAGCGATTCCCCTGCCTCAGCCTCCCGAGTAGCTGAGACTACAGGTGTGGACCACCATGCCCAGCTAATTGTTTTTGTATTTTAGTAGTGATAGGGTTTCACCATGTTGGCCAGGATGGTCTCAATCTCCTGACCTCATGATCAGCTCACCTTGGCCTCCCAAAGTGCTGGGATTACAGGCAGGAGCCACCGCGCCCAGCTAATTGTTTTTTGTATTTCAGTAGAGACGGGGTTTCACCATGTTGGGAAGGATGGTCTCAATCTTCTGCCCTTGTGATAGGCCTGCCTCGGCCTCCCAAGTGCTGGGATTACAGGCGTGAGACACCACGCCCAGCCAAAAAGTTATCTTTTTAAAGAGGATGAGCAGCTGGGCACGGTGGCTCACACCTGTAATCCCAGCACTTTGGGAGGCTGAGGTGGGCAGATCAACTGAGGTCAGGAGTTCAAGACCAACCTAGCCAACACGGTGAAACCCTGTCTCTGCTAAAAATACAAAAATTAGCCAGGCGTGGTGGTGGGCCCCTATAGTCCCAGCTACTCAGGAGGCTGAGGCAGGAGAATCACTTGAACCTGGTAGGAAGAGGTTTCAGTGAGCTGAGATCATGCCACTGCACTCCAACCGGGGCAACAGAGTGCAACTCCATCTCAAAATAAATAAATAAAGAGGATGAGCTTTCCAGTTTTTAATCAATTAGTTCTTTTCCTACTGTTTTCAGAAGCCCTCTGTCTTATTTACCAAATTCCTGCACATACATGGGTCTGTTTCTGAATTCCTAATTCTTCTATGTTGATCTTTTTTTAAAATTCTGAGCCAATTCTATGCTTTTTTTAATATATATATAAAGATGGGGTTTCACCATGATGGCCAGGCTGGTTTTGAGCTCCTGACCTCAAGTGATCCACCCACCTCAGCCTCCCAAAGTGCTAGGCTTACAGGCGTGAGCCAGTACACCTGGCCTTTTTTTTTTTTTTAATTCTATGCTTTTTTAATTATTATAGTTATTTATTTATTTATTTATTTATTTATTTATTTTGAGACAGGGTCTCATTCCATCATCCTGGCTGGAATGCAGTGGCCCGATCTCAGCTAACTGCAGCCTCCGCTTCCTAGGCTCAAGCAATCGTCCCACCTCAGCCTCCTGAGTAGCTAGGACTACAGGGGCATGCCACTATGCCCAGCTAATTTTTGTATTTTTTGTAGAGACAGGGTTTCGCCATGTTGGCTGAGTTTCATCTCATACTTTGGAACATCTTCCCCATCTATAAGCTTATACAAATAGCCTATCTTTTCTTCCACTATGCTTATTGTTTTCTTTTTTATGTATAAATCTTTACTCTGGCCAGGCACAGTGGCTCACGCCTGTAATCCCAGCATTTTGGGAGGCCAAGGCAGATGGATACCTTGAGGTCAGGAGTTCGAGACCAGCCTGGCCAACATAGTGAAACCCTGTCTCTACTAAAAATACAAAAATTAGCCAAGCATGGTGGCATGCGCCTGTAATCTCAGCTGCTCGGGAGGCTGAGGCAGAGAATCGCTTTAACTCAGGAGGCAGAGGCTGCAGTGAGCTGAGATCATGCCACTGCACTCTAGCCTGGGCAGCAGAGCGAGACTCCACCTCAAAAAAAAAAAAATCTTATTCTATCAGCATTGTGATAAATAGACCCAGCTTTAAAAAAATTCAGATAGTCAATTATGCCAGCTTTATTTATTTATTTATTTATGAGACAAAGTTTCACTCATCGCCCAGACTGGAGTGCAGTTGTGTGATCTTGGCTCACTGCAACCTCTACCTCCCAGGTTCAAGCAATTCTCCTGCCTCAGCCTCCCAAGTAGTTGGGATTACAGGTGTCCACCACCATGCCTGGCTAATTTTTGTATTTTTAGTAGAGATGGTGTTTTGCCATGTTGGTCAGGCTGATCTCGAACTCCTGACCTCAGATGATATACCCGCCTCAGCCTCCCAAAGTTCTGGGATTAGAGGCGTCAGCCACTGTGCCTGGCCTGCCAGTATCACTTATTAAATAACACCTTTTCTGCAGTGATTCGAAATGCCACGTTTCTCATATATACAGTTCCCACATATGCATGCTTGGATTTATTTCTGGGCTTTCTG